TGTTCTCTTTACATACATAAAATTCAAAAGTATGCCTATTGTACCCTCAGACATGGAAAGCAATATTATAAACAGCACACTAATTCCACAAGCACTATGTAAACTAAAAAAAATAATACATTTATTTCTTCATTGTCTTTTTACTGAAAAATTAGAAGTAAGGGCAAGAAAACAATAATTAAAATCAGGTTCTTATGAAATCTGATACCTTTTAACTAGATCTTTTCCAGTCGTTTCTACTAATAAGTTACAAAACAGGGAAGTTAATCAATACAAAGTAGAAAAGAAAATATTTAAACTGAAAAAAACCCAGACCTTTTCTTTTGGCTGAAGTTTTTTTTTTTAATTATTTTTCATAACTTTGCAGATACCTCAGATTCCACTCACACTTTTCATTCAACGCTAGTAATGTTATGTACACTGTCTAAGTTTATATGACCAAATTACTTTTTTGACTGCTTAAACGTGACCTGTGAGTAAAAGGGGACCATTTCCATCTGATGCTTTAAGCAAAAACATTGTTCTACCTAAGTATTTATTTCTAGGAGAAAAAAAAAAGGAAAAGAAAGAAAAATAAAATTGGGGTTTCATTCCAGTTCCTAGAAGGTGAGATTTTACATTGCAGTTTCACATTTGGCTGGCATATTTGTTGGCACAAACTCAAGGCTTAATGAGGCTTGAGAGAGTCTTGCAGCCTCCATAACTGGATGCTAATGTTGTTGAGCCTACTGCTGGATGTACATAAGGTGTGTCATTTGTGCCCCCCAGGCCCCATGAGAACGTAAAATAAAAGATGATTTGTTGTATTGCTGACTTCCAAATCACTAAGGCTCCATAAAATCCATGCCAGTTTGGGCAGCAGAGGTTCCCTGGGGAGAAGTAGCCCATCTTCCTAGAAAGCTGTGTTAATGCCCTTCACTGTGGTGCTGTGTGTGAAGGGATTGCTGTGCTTTACTCCCTGCTTGGTTTTGAGGCACATGCATCAAATCTCTGCTTCTTCTCTGAACTTCCCTATAAACAGCCTTCTGAGACTGAATCCTTATGCCATCAGGACAGAGGAGGAAAGCATATTTTTTCTTGTACTTTAGCACAGAGGATCCTAGATTTTCTCAAAGTAGCCTTGCTAGGCTGGAAATACAGAGATGGCATAGTGCAGGCATGACTGCGTGCAGCCTCTCACGTGTCACAGTTTATCCACAGTTTATCAGTGGATAAACTCATTGCTTTGAACTTGGGCTGGGGATGGTTGCATACCAAGGCTGTAGCTTATGAAACCCTGCAAGGTAAAGATAATTCTTGGTTATCTTGAACCTTTCAGTAATAAGTGGTTATGTGAATCTGCAAATAGGAAATAATCATATTTTGGCAAACTTCTGCTAAAAAATGCATAAATTTCAGTAATGTGTGCATCAAACACCCTTATTAGTATAAGATGTCTACCAGGGAAGTAACTTATATTAGGGTTTTATCTTACATCTTAGGTATTATTATATTCCTTGGGCTAGGAGAGTCATGCTGTTTTCAACATTGTGATGCCACTGAATTTGAATTAAGGAGTGATGAAAGATTGATGTTGAGTCATTAAATAAGACATTTGGAGGACTACTTATGAGTGGATCTAGCTCAAATGTCCTTACGCAGATTGGACAATTTGTGTATAATAGGCTGTATGATATAACTACACCTTCCTGGATTCCCAGTCTCTAATAATTGTAATTTGTTTTGTTCTGGCCAACATATTGAGTTTTGTGTTACAAAGGCTTTTGTGATGTCAATAATAGATATTGCAGAAATATTTTGTTATTTCTTCTGGGAGAACATAACTTTTTAAAAATAATATTTGCATTAGCTTTTTTTGTGGTGAATTAGTAGGATAATTAAAGTAGGTGTTAAACTGTCTAATTTTCAGTAAGCTGTCCACTGTGTACAGAGAAAATTCCCAGTCAATAGGATCTCCAAAATATGCAGTTCAATAATGCACATGGTTCTGTAAAGAGAATTCACTGAGGCTTTTATCTTTTCATTAAAATAACCTCTCCTCCAAGATCAGATTTCTTACACTAGGGATCAAGTTGGTTTTGGTTTTATCCCTGAGGAAAGGCAAAACTAAATTCACTGACTGATGAAAAATATTACGAACAAAGATTATTCTTCTGTCATTAAGGATGGAAGTTACTTGCATATTGCTTTATTGTCAAACAAAATTGTTAATATTCAGAGAGGTGTCTACATCATCATTCTCCATATAGGGTTTATTGCTTTCAGCATTTGGCTTAATTCCCAAAGTATGGAACAGAATTTGCTCTGAATGTCAGTAAACGTTTACTTGATTTTTAGCAAAAACTTGGAGATGAATGGAACGTGGAAGACTATACAGCACCTTTCCACCCACTGCTTTTTCCAAGTAATAACACACAAATAGTAAATCTTTACAAAATCAAATTTTCTTGGGTGATTGTGTGGCAAATTTTGTTACATGAAAAGATAATTTGATTAGTTATAAATTCCCTCGCCACTTGCTTGAGTAGCCTGAAGAGTCTAATAAACTGTAAACTTCAGCACTAAAAGAAATAAAACTAATAAATCTGTATGAAAGTTTTTTTTTTCATGGCTTTCCTTCCTCTTATGAATGGCATTGAGTTTCCATAGTCTAGTAATGTGTAATAAGGTGTTCTGCTTATCAGCAGCTTGATGGAGACAGATTACCCTTCTGGAACCTTAAAAAGAATAATACCATTGCAAAAAAGTTACAATTTGAAGAAAATAATGGATTTTAATAAGTGAAAGTCATGGAAATCAAGTATCTGTCACTGTTTTTGTCTCTTGCTTAAAAACAATTGTCATGATTATGATTATCTTTTATGTCAATCACAGTGTTTTCACTGTCCACCCCTGTCAGTCACTGAAGCGATAAGGAGGGACATTATTTTGTGCAGTCATTGTGCTCACATCTACCCTATGCTGGGCAGGAAACTCTCCCAGTTTATCTGTGCTTTCCTAGAATATCAAATGTGCAGTTATGAGAAGCTTCAGTTTCACCTTACAGCTGCCAAATGTTGTAGTAAGGTTAATAATGCCACCAGGAAGAGGGATGAACACTGACTTCTCAGGCTGGTTGTAAAAGGTCAGTCTGAGAATTTCAGAACAGGCAAAGGTACTGTGTGTTAATGGCACTATCCTGGTGAGTGTCCCAGGTGCCTTTGAAAATCCTAGCTAAAAGCTTACAAGGAGGATGTTTTTAAATTAAATAAAACAATTGATTTTTCAAGCACTGAAGAAAGACTTCTGAAAGTACTGTGGACAATTTTCATGTATATTTAACAGGTAGTGTTTAAGTTTAAACTTTTAGGCACAGATTGTAAATCTTGATTGTATGTTTATCTTTTGTTGAGGGACATATGAAATAGAAATATTATTTGTATTTTTTTAATATTACCATAAATAAATGCATGTAGGCAATTCAGCTCCTGAAAGCTGTTGCACATCTTTCAGTAACTGAGGATAGTTTTCATCTTTCTATGAAACTATTTAGCAATCATGATAAAAATTAAATGGAACTATGTATCATATTTATCAATGCAAATTATATTCTGGTAAATATTCTTTCAATCTTTAGATATCTGATAGAATCCCAGGACTTCAGGCTTTGCCTTTTAAAAATTACTCTCCAAATAATTTTCAAAGAAAAAATTATACTTTCAGCTAAATATGATTTTACAGAAGCTGCATACTTAGGAACACATTTTTAGCACACTTTTTTGTTTTTTTAAACAGAGCACATATCCAGAAATATTTGTTTTGAGAGTTTTGTTTTCCAAAATAACAATAGTTTTAGATGACTAAATTTGTATAAGACATCTACTTTTCTGCAGGTAACAAATGAGCAAAAATGTTGCTTTTAAAAATCCTAAGCTTTAGGAACAGTGACAAACCATATTGTCCCAGACAAAGTTTGCAGCTAAGAACTGTGTACTCAGTTCTTAGGTTTATGAATAAACATTATACCAGAGCTTCGTTTTCATATGTACTGTGTATTTGCCACCCTTTTAGTGTCACAGGGAACACAATTCAATGCTAATGTTCATGAAGTAAGAAAACATAATTATATGTTAAATATTTTAATAAAGACAAATCGATTATTAAGGTTTTATTTTTCCATTCTCAGCTCTTGAGAAATATCCCTTCTGTTATTACTGCAAAGTAAAACAATCTGAGTGGGGCCAAAATATATTGGCCAAGCAAAGACAGGAAGGCTGATCTTTCTTGAGGGCAGCAAGTAATACTTATATTGCAGATGCTTATGCTATTCCTGTAACAGGCCTGATCCTGCACTACTGAGATCAAAGGATGTTTTCACTTCACTTTATTGAAGAAAGTTTTATACTGAAAAGTAGAGCTAGTTCTACAGTTCTGGTAGTTTGGTCCAAAGCCTATAAACAAACAACTGAATAAATGAACACATTTAGGCTTGACTGAATAGTTTTGTTTTATTTTTAAGTAAGCCATGCATGATGATGAACCAAATAAACTTTGACCTTGAAAATTATAAAAGCCTATTCTTAATGAAGCCCCCTGTAAGGAAAAGAAAGTAAACTGTTCTTGCGTAGTTTTCATTGATCTTGTGGATTTTCTGCAGTCATAAACTTCAAAATGTATTGAACACATTGACTAATGTAATAAGTTATCTTCCTTAAAAGCCAAAGCTGTAAATAATTATATCCATTAAAATATGAATTAATTAGATGAATGAATAATAGCATTGCCTGATTTTTATGAGCTGTGTCTATCTACTTAATGTACAAAAGAATTATATTCAAATTGGGAAAAGAAAATTTGTTTTAACTCAACCATTATATTACTAGGTAGTGTCTGATGAGGGTTTTTCTTCTCTTACTGCCCCCCTTTATGTCCAAAGATGTGTTTATTTAGAAAGAAATGCAGTTGAGAAGCAAGAAAGGCGACTGAATCTCTTTGTTAAGTAACTATCTTTACTATTTCAGAGCTGCAAGAAACTAAAACCTCTGAATATCACAGAATATCCCACAGTCCCCTGGATTACCGGATATTATTAATGGATGAAGATCAGGATCGGATCTACGTGGGCAGTAAAGATCATATTCTGTCTTTGAATATTAACAATATAAGCCAGGACCCTCTCAGTGTAAGTTCGAGTTTTGTTTTGAGAATCTGAGGTTGCTTTATTACATGCCTTTGTTTTTAAGACAAAAAAATATGTATTTCATTAATTTGCATGAAAGTCCAGGCCCACACCTTATTGAACTGTTAGTCCTGGTTTCACGTGTAACACAGATGAAGCTGTTCCTTCAACACTGTTTAAAACTGGCCTGTTTACTACTTTTGAAGCAACATTCAGCTTGGCCAGGCCTCATAAGGAAAATTTGTATGGTTTGATGCTTTCCACTCCTCTCCAGGATAAGATAGTTCAGAGATGCACTGTTAAAAGGAGCCTGTAAGTAAGAATAAGATACACACTGTCGTTCTCAGGCCATAGGGAAAAAGACAAGGACAGAGTTGCCTTTAATCTTCAACTACATTTATTTTTGTTTTGTACTCTGGAGCCTAATCACTGAACTATTTTCCAGTCTCTTGTTATGTCTGTTGTCAGCCCTTGCCCTTCAGTTGGGTAGCTGAGACACCTCATTTGGGTTTTTTTCTGATTTCGAAATAGGTGACCTGCAGAAGTACTTGTGTGCCCAGAAGCTTGACTGATAAGCTGTTACCTCTCTACAGACTTAGTCTTGCCTATCTTTAGACTACCAGAGCTACTACACTGCCTTAAAAAGTACCATAAAGGCCTTGTTCCACCAAATCCATCCAATCCTTTAATCTATGGGCTTTATTACTGTACCTCAGAAGGATTGAGGAGCAGCGATACCCAGCTTGCAGCAGGGAAGATAAATGCTTTCCTTGAGAAACAAGGCTTTTAATGTGTCAGGGGAGAGAGAGGGTCCCTGCCAGAGAGTGATGGAGCACAGTTAAATTAGGCTTTGCTCTGAATCACCCTCTGGATGTGCCTGTCTACCTGAATTGATTGTGCAGGGAGCCCGGGGAGGCTCACTCTAACTTACACATTTAAATTAAATGCCTCTCGTTCAATGGTGTGAATGCATCCTTCCCTCCTTCTAATGGTACCAAAATCTCCTTCTGAAGTGAGGCTGCCTTCTCTGATCTGAAATAGCTTCTGTGACCTTTTTTGCTAAGTCCCATCTCCGCAGTGATCCAGCCACCCCTGTTTGGGAGGAGCTGTACCCTCACATGACACACTCTCTCCTGCCTGTGGCAGGTCCAGTTTAATTCTGATAGCAAGGCCTCTGTTGCATGAAATATTTTCTGCAGTATAAAGCTGTGAGGCATTTCAACAGCCTGTAAAAACAAAAATAAAAAAAGTCAACAGAAAGGAAAAACACAAAAAGTTTTCTGGCAGTGAATGTGTTCACCCGGTATTAGGCTCAGAATGAATCTTTGTAATTCCACACAGTCTTCTGGTTGTTTATTTATTTTTATGGCAGATTCACTTTGCTGATCTTATACCTCTATAGAAATCCATATATGCATTCAAATCCACAATTCTACATATGTATGTATATAGGTACATAAACAGAGATCTTTCAATGCTGTTGTTTATGTTACCTTGAGGCTAAATGTTATCAAGCTCTGTCACTTACTAGATTTCTAGGGATAAATTTCTAATGGATGTCTTTTCTATTTCAAAATCAAAATAAATAATGGAAGAAACTCAAAATGTTTAGAGTTTGATTATAAAACAGATAAACATTCAGACATTGAGATATCTGTTGGAAAACTGTGTGAATAAAATCAGTTTGAAATCCTGAGATTTCAAGCAGGTTATATCATAATCTATCCAAACTTTCGATGTTAAAATCAAAAAATTGTTACAAGAATCCTTGTTGCACAGTTTTAGCCTTCTGGTTTCTAATGTGCATAATTTCTGAAAGTTCAATAAAAGTAAAAAAGTAAAGATAGTAATTTAGGCAATAAAGGTGAAAAATCTCTCTTATTTAGAAGAGAAAATCTAAATAATTTGATTAACTTGCCTTGAAAATATGTAATAAACTTAGAGCCAAAGACCTGGACCTTTATTTTGTTTACTGCATGCTAAGACAAAAATATTTTCATGTATCAGTGAAAATTCTTTTTTTCCTTATAATGAAAGTGTAAGATATCCAAATATTAAAGTATTAGTGTAAGTTAGGCGGTGAAATGTTTTGTTTAAATTATGTGAAAAATATGCTACTTGAATGATACTTCTTTCCTTACAGATTTCCTGGCCAGCATCAGCAAACAAGGTTGAAGAGTGCAAAATGGCTGGCAAAGATCCTACAGTAAGTTATAACCCACATGCACACATATACACAAATTACGTACTTGGCAATAAAGTAAGAGCACCTTGAGTGCAGCCAAAGCAAAATGAAAGTGTTTGTTTTGCTTTCGAAATGCTTTGCAAGCCTATCTATAAAGTGAAATTCTGGAGAGGCAGGCAGTGTAAACAGAATGCACCTTCAGACTTTGACAGATGGGAAAAGATATGCAGTGTCCACTTTCTCGGGATTTTTTTGTTGTCACTAATCAAACCAGGTAATAGTACTTTTCCAGATATGTCCTGGGTGATGCTCAACAGCCTGGTGAGCTGCTCTTTGGAGTGGGGAAGTGCTCTGGCTGGCTGCTTGCCCCTGGAACAGACTTTGAGGGCGGGTGGTACCCACCGTCTGCAGTCTGAAGACCTCGGTTGAGCACCAGCTTTCAGATGCTGTAGTGTGGTATCGGTTCCTGCTGTACCAAAAATGTGAATGCCTCTAAATGTAAATAAACCAGTGCAGTCTGCTAAACAAGGATTAATTCTACTGATTTTCATGAAGCTGACTGATGACACAGTTTCCAATCTTGTGCTCGTAGAACTCACACAATTCTCACTGTCTTTGATGATTGAATATGAAAGTCGTTCCAGGATCTCAGTAAGAAAAAAATATCCAGAAAAAAAAAATCTGTTTTCAACCTATAATATGTTAACAGTTGATCACAGTTAAAAATAAAAGAGGAAGAGAAGAAAGAGGTATGCTGGAAGGAGAAAACTATAAATCTGATGGTGTGAAACTATGTGGTCTTTAACGTTCTGTTCTAGTTTTCATGCTGATTTGAAGATGTTACTGTAGGTCTTTAATATGAAACAACAATTCCCTGCAAACTTCCTTTTAAAGTTTTGGAAAGAAAAGATTTATACAAATAACGGGATCTGAGATTTGGGCTTGCTTTGCTTTTCAATAATCTCCATCTATGATGAACAGATTAGGGGGAACCTCTGACTGTTTCAGAGGTGTCCTTAAGGAAACTTCCTAAGGTTACTTCTTGTTTTCCTGCAGAAGTCCTGCTTCTTCTCATGCAAGGTACAGAGAAATCTGTGAATGAAAATTGGTTTGCTGCGTGGAAGCAGGAAAGTTACACGCACTCCTCTATAACTCCTCTGTAGTGCCTTATCAGTGCCCAGTTCCCAGACTAGGCAAAATGGCATGAAAAGAAAGAGAATCTGCAGCTGTTCAAATCCAGAGACTAACAAACTCAGTAGCTGTTTTCATGACACTATGAAAATTATAAGTCACGTCTCTTCCCTGGAGTTCCCAACGTCTAGTAACATTTGCCAGTGTGAAATTATTGCTCTCTGTACTTCCTGCAGCATGGCTGTGGAAACTTTGTGCGTGTGATACAGTCGTACAACCGCACACACCTGTACGTCTGCGGCAGCGGCGCCTTCAGCCCCGTGTGCGTGTATGTCAACAGGGGACGCAGGTCTGAGGTGAGTCTCTTTTCGTTTTATCCACTCCCTTCTGTGGTGCATCCTGCTGGTGTGATGTGAAAAGTCAAAATATTGAAAACGCAAAAAGAATCAGTGATCCGCATAGGGTCGTTCACCCGTGTTAAATAGCAAAAGAGCAAAGGTCCATAGTTTACTGAGGTGTTACCAGCTAGAAGCAAAGCCATGATCAAAAACCATGCCCGAAATATGATGGTTGTCCTAAATTCCACAGTCATACCAAATGCTGGGCGACATTTGATACTACTTTTTATTTGACATTTTCTGGTGAATTCATTCCTACCATTTGGTGGGGAAATGCCCAAGAAATACTTGAAAGGAACTAGCCAGTAAAATATACAGTCCACTTTTTATAGCTTCCATGTGTTACTGGTTCCTGGGAGAAGCCCTTAGTTTGGATAACTATTCAGGGATGCAAAAGTTTGCTGGACTTCAGCTTAACACCCACTAGATGCAATCCCAGTACAGGAACTTTATCTACTGCACAAATTTTGCCCTAGATTCTGCCCAGGTGAAGTTGGAAAGTTTTACCTCACTGTGAGATCTTACTTTTTCTAGAGGAGTCTCCAGTTTTTCTGTATTCAGTTTCACTGTTCATTTTCAATATATAAAGTACCAGATGTTTCAGTATATGGTTCAGTTTTCCTGATTTGAATGTGAAATGTTTGTTTATGTGCAAATGTAATAGGTAATAAATTAAGCAACCAGAAGGAAAAAGAAAGGCACTTTCTCCTGAGGCAGCACCTCAGGAGCTTTCAGGTCAGATTCGTGACTGCAGGCACAGGGTTGTGCAGTATATTTTCCTGAACAATGTGGAAGCAGATGTGTTGGGAAGGAAGATCAGAGCGTCCTACCTGGAGTGTTGCCATGTGAGGGCAGCTTTAAAAGCTGGACTGGCTTCTTGGGAAGACACTGGGAAATTCATCACTGATTTAATTGGGAGTGGGATGGGAATTCTGGCCAAGACCCAAGATACTGCATAGGTTACCAGGGAGGTGATAAGTCAATGTCTCTCCAGATCGGTTTGCACAGGATAATCTCAGTGACTTTTGTTAGATCCCTACCTGGCTCCAGCCTGCTTAGCAGAGTATGCAGACTGAATCACTGCACCTTCAGTCCCAAAACATTATCCAAAAGTAGAGATTTGTAGGCCTGGATTTAAAAGTGCAAGCAAACAGAACTGACTAAGTAAATCCATCCCTTAGGTTAATGAATTTGGCATTAACTTGTTTTGATGTATTTTGAAACAGGGGTCACCTTTCCTCAGCATCATCTTATTTCCTGAGAAATTATTTAAAATATAAGAAGTGATATCATTTGTCTCTAATTAATGTAATATTCCTTTATTACTATAATCTGCAGCCCAGAGAACTTTGAGTCGCATTATTTCAGAGTTTTTTTAAATGAAATTGGAACAGAGAGGAATGCAGGAAACGACATCTCCAGATGATGCAATATGTTAAATTGTTTAAATGAAAAGTAAAGATACGTGATTTGGAAAAGAACTGGCTTCACTTAGCCTGTCTGTATAGCTACATGCCTATATCAATTGATTAAATAAACTGCTGTTTGAGATGTCTGGAGTCTGTGAGACACTTGACTCACAAGTGTCTCACTTTGAGCATTGCATGCTCAAAGCCATTACTGTACAGGCCAACAATAGCATAACAGTTTAGAACCAAGAATTTCCTTCTGAACTCATTGCATATATCTGTGCATGACTAATTAATAGAGCAGAATGAAGAACTGTGTAGTTCTGATGGGACTAGTGAGAACTCATTTTTTTCTCTGCTTTTATCATTTCACCTTTAATTTAGTGCAGTTTTCCATGCAAAGAAGGCTGTTTTTGCACGTGCAAAATGAATATTTTACAAAGCACATCTGTTTTTCTCTAGAAACTACAAAGCCTGACAGAGTTGTATCCAACAATTATAAGAACTGGGACTGTTTTGCTCTTTTGTTTTGCTCCGGGATTCTACATAAGCTCACAAAAAAGGAAGATTCATTGATGAGGCAGAATTTTTACCTTTTCCCTGAAACAGAGGTTATACAACAATTAATTTTCTTCTTTGGCACACTTCATACTTTGCTCTTTGGTAATTACTCCCTTAGTCACCCAAATATATTCTAATGTCAAAGTAAATGCAAACAGAAGGAAATGTAATCCTATGTGACATAATTATAGACTAAAAGGTAGTTTAATATATATGAAAATCAAGTGTAAGCCTGGAGCTAGTTTAATAGAGCAGTAATGGGCGTTTTGAATTGGAAAATAGTGGTATAATATAGTAAATATGGATTAAAATCAAACTGCATATTACTCTAGAAGTGAAACAACAACAAAAAGCCACCCAAGATCATGTTATAAACTTTAAACTTATGTTTTAACATTGTTTAGAGAGCTTATTACTGAAACAATAGATAAGATCTCTGTGATTAAATTAGGCAAAACAGAAGAGGGCAAAAAGAGAGGGGATAATGGATATGAAAACTTCCTGCTGCAGCTGTGCATTTGAGCTTGATGGAATCTCCAGTTTGCTGGTGCCAAATGGCTGCTCAGGGATTTGTGTGGCATCCCCCTTCCCCTGTGATTTACATTAACTGTTAAAGAGAATATAAGGAGTTGCTGTCCTTTGTCAAATAACTAATACATTGGCATCTAGATCACAGAAGCCTTTCTGTGGAATTTTTGTCAGCTACCTTTTTATTTTGAAATTTTTTAAGTTTAGTTGGTTGGTTTTTCTTGCAAGCGTGTCTTTTGGCTTTTTTTTAAAGATTAGAAGTTTGTTACAGGAGCCTAGGAACAAGCTGTTTGGAATACAGTGGTATGTGAGTTGATGTGTCAGTGTCTCTGTCATTACTGACTGCAGTTTTTAAGGAATGGGCTTGGACATGAGTCACTTCTTGCTCAGCACACTGTGCTAGTATTGGTGGGAACCAAGAAGTGAAGTTACAACAAAATGGGCAAATATTCTAAATATACTCAGGTTATTTGTATTTCAAGCTGTAGTCCAGGTTTTATCTACTTTGCTAAATGTGTTCCCTGTTCATAAATCACGGTAAAATATAAACAAATCCCCATACCGTGATTTCTAAACAGAAAAAAAAAATTCAAGAGATTTCAGGCTATAATCATCTATCACTATGGAATTGGAGCTCTACACATTATCAAAGAGATGGTATTGAAGAAAATAAGTATGATTTAGGGGATTTTTGGGTGTCTGATAGATCAGTAAAGGTCAAATGTTTTATACTATCATCAAATGACAGTTGTCATAAGAAATTTTTATTTAATATGCCTTATTGTTATTATTGTTCTAGTTGCTTTGTTATAATGTCCTAGACTGGTGTGAGTATAACCATGTATTCAGCAAATAAATGATAAATAACTTCAAAAACACAGAAGCAATCTCCACAGATGATATTGCAGAGATCAGTCAACCTCTCCATAGCTTAATTGAGATAGAGGGGAAAATTCTTTGTTTCAGTGTCTTGAATTTATAACAAGAGTCTTGAAAATTACTGGGTATCAGTGAAAATCTTATCTACCAAGATGATGGAATTCTGAATAGACCAGTTAAACTGCTGATAGTACAGTAAAAGTACCCAATAGTGCAGTGCTAATAGAGCATTGTTAATGCTGGAAACGGCCAGGCATAAAAATGGTTTTACATCTGATGGTTTCTGAAATGAGAAGTGACCCGTAAATCTACTTTGCAGGAACAAATCTTCAAGATCGACTCCAAGTGTGAATCAGGAAAAGGACGCTGTTCTTTCAACCCCAACGTGAACACGGTGTCTGTTATGATCAGTAAGTAAAGATACGCCAAGTTGCTGAGTCTAAACCCATATGGTCATGTGTGGTCATGAGGATTGACAGAGTGCCCAAAAGGAGCTGGACACAGAATTCAGCCTCCTGAATGGCTGATGAGCACAAGGGTCGGGTCCTTTCTTGTCTCAAGGTTTATATGAAACTAGAGGTGGGTGGACAAGTGAAATGCAGAAAGACATCTTTGAAAGGGAGAGAGAGGGAAAACAAAAGGTTGTCCCTTTTCCAGCTTACACATTTTTTCCCAGGATTAGTTTCAACTTTACATTACCCTGTCTAGCATTTATGTTTGAATGGTGTCTGACCTTGTTCATCCTAGACAGAACTTGTGTCTCATTTAATTATTTGTAAAATCTCAGAGTAGCCAGGGAAAGAAAGCCTGAAGATTTCAGATGCTATGAATTTCATTTTTGTTGTCATCTCTGCTGTAGAGCCCACCAGTTATTGCAAGGCTCTTCATTCTTCAATTGGCTTTGTATCCAACCAATTTTGCAATTTTCTTCCATTTGAAAGGCCAGAAAGTGATAAAACTGCCACTCCTCAAATATTCGTGTGAACTGGTGGCAACTGTACTCATTGACTGTGACATATAGCCCAGACAAAGGATTTCTGCTGTGCTTATTAAACACCTAAGAGAAAACTCAAAGGGGGCATATGCTCTGTGCAACCTAAGTCATCTGTAAAAGATCCTCTTTATTTTTTTTTTCAACCAGGAAGCGTGTTATATATACTCTGTGTAACCTGACCTTTCACATTTTCATCATGTTCACAGACATACAGTGCCAAAGCCTTGATTATTCAACATGTGCCTACTCCTTGCTGTATTTTTGGCTTTGAGAGGAACAGCAGTTGCACAGGTTTTTCAGACTTTATTTCACCCAAGGTTTACAAGGGAACAATGTGCCATGTTTCTGCCATTCAGCTTCCACTGAAATCAATGGCAATTAAATATTGTGCTGGATATTTCCTTTAAAGTTTGAATCTCATGGATCTTAAGTGAAGTGTCATATAGTTTATCCTACATGGTCTGTTCAAAATGTAAATTGCCTTTTTTTTAAATTGGAAATATCTTTAGTACAAAGGACAGATATATTTATTCACAGATGTATGAACTCAAGCACCTTTAGATAACAGGTGAATGCTACCTAGATGTCTCTCTGAACCTTGGCTGTACTTACACCTTTATCTCATCAGTGATCTAGGGACAGTGTTTACAGACACTGTCTGTGAAAAGAAAATGTTTGTTCAAAGTCAGTGATTGATGAGTCCTCTTCTACTCATTGCTGTTCTAGCATTATGAAGTGAATCAACTGTCATTAAAAAATTAAAGTTTTCTTTCCTTGTTCCTTCTGGGTTTTATGTAGCACCGTTGAAGTACATTGTTTCTGCATTACTGTCTATAGAGTAAGCTGCTTTTTTTGTACAATAGATCTATGGCAGCTTTGTTCATCTTAATAGACTTTAAGGTAACTTTTTGTTACCTTCCTTGATCTCTCAGGTATGGGTCTAAAGAGACCTTCCCTAACGTTTGACTTATCTTTCATGACATCTACAAAGTTTAAATTATTCCACAAAGGTCATATTCCTTTTAAAAAGAGTCCCACAGATTGGGTTTTATATTTTCTCCATTACTACAAAGTCCAGTTAGTTCAGAAACATTAAGCTCTAATGAATTTAGCCTCAGTATCCAGGCCAGAAAAGGGAACATTTTGTAACTCACAGCTTGTGTTATAACGAGGGGACTGAGCCCATGTACTGGACTCTTCTTCGGGCAATCTGCAGGAGGGATTCCCTCCCCTTGTTTCAGAAGACAGGAAATACCGCCAGACAGGCTAGTTCTTCCAAAATGAAAGAACCATTTTTAAATATAGATGCAGTTTCTTGACCATTTTGGGCATCACCAGCCTAGAATAGAGGAGGAAAGCTGATTCACCTTTCAGAGGAAAGCGGTGATATAAAAACAAATTTGAACTTCATACAATTTGCCATTGTACAAAGACACATTTGCATCAAAGCAATGAAAAATGTGCTTTGAAGCAGCTTGGCATAACTAATGTGCAGGATGTATGTCTCTCTCCCCACCAAGACTCAGATATTTATAAAAGCAGACCTCATCAACTCAGTAATTCCCCCCAGTAACAAAGTGTAGTGTGAGCTCCTTGTACTGTGCAGACCAAGTGCTGTGTGGAATGTAAGGATTTTACCAGAAGGAAGTGGAACTGACGGATTTCATTGGATACACGATTAGCAAGCAGACACTAGGAATGCTTAAGACATAACTAATAACACTGATACGTAATAGGATTAATATTACATAGTACAGCACTGTTGTTAATGTGTGTACATAACATTTAACTGTACATAACATTTAGCAGGAAGCATAAGCCTGCTCTCTTTCAGCTAATTCATTTCATACTAAGCATGTTTGACTGAAACAAGGAGGCAAATATGCAAAATCATTTATAAATGTGTATAGATCCAACATCATTCTGTCAATACCTGCTGAGGAAGTTAACGCTTCACCAACATGCAGTGAATGCATTTTTTAAATCCCCTGTGTATGAACCTTGTCATCACTGGGAGAGGTGAAAGCAGAAGAGTGGCTGCTGGATGCCCTACAGGGGTTCAGTTCAGGCTCCAGTTAGCAGCAGAAAAGCAAAATCTCCAGTTGTAATTCTCTCATGAGCCAGTAATCTTCCATATTGATGTGTGAACATACATACACACACACACAGAGCATGAAAATAGCCTCAAGCACTTCTGAACCTGTGACTCTTGCCAGCTTGACCACACTCTCTGGGTAGTCCAGGAATTCAGACAAAAACATCAATCAAAGGACCCAGCTGTACTGGAATGTATTCAGCCACCACTCCCACCCTCAGAGTTAGAGTTTATTTTAGCTACTGTTTTCTGCTCTGGGGTTTCATTGTCATTAGTCAGTGGAAATTGCTTGGTTATTCATGGAGTGGAAAATGATAGTATATGTAATTATAATTATATATACATATGTTTATGCACACACATGGACTCAAACAAATGCAGATACAGATCCTGACTGATGGACTGTGTGTTCAGCCCTGCTCAGAGAGCAGAAGTTCATAGTTCTGTTAATGTAGGAGTTGCGTGTCTAATTCTGTTCAAGCATAATGACCCTATACTTGGAATCAAGTACACAAAAGGGGATAATTGTTGCTCCCTATTACTTTGAGTAAAGTTCAATAATATGATTGTCTGGCCTCTGCAATACTGAAGTCAGCTTAAGGCTGCCTGGGGCAGCTGTGACAATACTGCTGGTATAAATTGGCACTGATCCACTGACTGCAATAAATGTTGTGCCAGTTTACAACAGCAATAAATTCAACCCAGTCACTTTGTCTACTTCCATAGCAAAAAAAGTTATTTGAAGTGAATCCTTAAAAAATTGGATGTGATACTTTTTTGATAACACTAGTCTGATTTTCCAGTGATCCTTAGCAGTGGAAGCTGAGCAACTAAACTTCCTATCAAGAGGTTCACCATGTATACAGCTCTGCTGTGGCATTTAATGATGCAGTTTCCTAAAAGTCTTTAAGAAAAATCTGATTCTAGTTTGTGTCACTGTAAGTCAGAGGAAACCCCATTCCCATGACCCACTATTTATCTGTATAGACTCCTGTGTAAATAAAGAGCTGATGAATTTAAAATAAACTTTTGAGTCTCCCAAAAACCGTAACAATGCATTGAGTTTTTCCCCTCCATTTCAATTCTTTTCAGATGAAGAGCTTTTTTCAGGAATGTATATTGATTTCATGGGGACAGATGCAGCCATTTTTCGGAGTCTGACCAGGAGGAATGCAGTGAGAACTGACCAGCACAACTCCAAGTGGCTAAGTGGTGAGATGCCTTTGTTTTACCAGATCTTTTAATGGATGTCACAGAGATTCTGCTTTGCTTTGCTTAAAATAAAGAGTTTGTCCTTTAAAGAGCTTGTCTCTGAATTTAATGTATGAAGTTAACCATGAAGAAGTGTATGTAAATACGTACTGTAGACAATGCACAGACGTAAAGAATTCACTGCATGTACAAACCTCTTAGGCCACCCCACCTGAGGACCTTTTTTGCATTAAGACTGAACCAACTGTTCAAGGGACAGTGTGTGAAAACCTTTCAAATGGCAAGTGGTCAGACAGTCTGAATTCCAAAAAGTGCCTTCACCTCTAATGCATCAGATATTGCCTTAAATTAGAGTATTTGATTCTAAGGTACCAGCTTCAGTTAATTCAAGCTGATCCACATCTATGCAAAAGACTCACCACCACTTGCATTCAAAATGTGTGCAGAAGAGAGTCTCATTATCAGACAAGTCAGTGAGGATTATTGCTACTTATTTCAGTGATAAGGAATTGGTTATCAAAACACAGTAGGAAAACTCATTTCTGAGTGGGAGCACTTAACTCTTTGCATCACTGACATCACTGTGAAAATTGTCCCTGTCTTTACTGGTAAGAAAACTCCTTCCAAGTAAACTGTTCTGAATTAAAATGGTGCTTATTGCCTCTGAGCAAAGGTAGATGTCAAAATTTATAGAGCGACTAACATAGCAGTTACAATATTAGAAAGCCTTCAGGTATGTTGAAGTAAAGTTACTGTGGTTTTCTCTTGGTATTTTTTAACGTGACTCTAGTTGTTCCTATGTGGCTGTGACTACAGTGAAATCATAGGATTGCAATCAGAATAAATTCAGTTCACTATGGACGGGAAACTATGTCTGTTTTTTAAGTTTTTCTTCTGTTATACTTTCTTACACTTACCTGCACACCCTGACATGTGCATCCTAAAGTGAATTAGAGAAAAAGAACAATTAAAAATGCCTAATTTCTGGAAAATCTACCTGTTACCTATGTTCAGAACAGGTACTTGAAAGTACAATTTATTTTCATGTCCTTTTAGAGCTGTAGTCATGACACTTATTGTATTAATTGAGAATAGGTTTATGTGAATAGAAAAATGCTGCAGTGTAAAGGGAGTTTTCTGTCAGACAGTCAACCTTTGTATCAGACTGTTTCAAAATTTGTACTGCATTTCAACCAAACAAGCAATCTTGCATGATCATTGAAAAGACAAAGCCTTCGTGCAGGGAGAGGGTCCACTTCTTCCTTCAGGCAAAGGAGAAGGTCTTCTGAGGACTCCTCCACTGTCCATTATATGCTTGCTTTTAAGGGTATAAATTATTTTGCTCTCTGACTAGTGCTCCTTTGCAGTGTTTTGCGCGCACATTGGGTTATGTTTAACAGCCTCTGATATGAACTCAAATGCTGCTCAAGCATTTGTGTGCCCTTCTTACCTTTTTTGTGTTCCACGAGTTGTTTTCCTCTCTTATTTATGAACCTTATCTGTTATTTTCCTAAGCTGTTGCATCTTATTTTATGTTTTGTCTCAATGAGACTTTCCTTAGGGGCCCCAGATAGCACACAGATTCTTCCCTCTTCTTCCTCAGAGTCTTTGAGTCTCTGCAGTAACCTAATACTACTGCTTCTGGATCACTCCTCTAAAAGTCTGCTGTGGAATAAAATACTAAGATGCAAAAACATATGGCTGCCAGCAAGGAGCCATTTACCTGCTGATATTTGTTATATACAGACATGAAGCTAGAGCATATAGCTTAGCCTTCCACAGCAATACCTCTATATGCATTACACAGTGCTTCCTTGAAGCAGTCAGTAACTGTGAAGTCATTAATTGCTTATTCTTATACATCTTTTGGTTTCATCTTTTTGGTAATTTTTTTCATTACAGAGCCAATTTTTGTGGATGCTCATGTTATCCCAGATGGCACTGACCCCAATGATGCCAAAATCTACTTCTTCTTCAAAGAGAGACTCACAGACAACAGCGGCAGCACAAAGCAAATTCATTCAATGATTGCAAGAATATGCCCAGTAAGGACTATTTTGTTTGCCAGGTTGTTGGGATAAGCCTTTGATTTATATTTGAAACAAATTTCCTGTTTCTGCGTCCACCTTCATAATTAAGAAGAGCTGTTATTGAACTCACAGTTAGAGTCTGAACATGTTATGTACATCAGGCTGTACCTGTAAGGATATGGAAATTTAGAGATTCAGGGATTTGTGTATTTCTCTGATGAGTCAGAATACTTACCAGTGTTGAATTTTCAAACTTGTTGTCCTTGGCACAAATAGGGTACATTATTTTCTTAGAAAAACTGAGCTAAAAAACAATGAAGTCTCAAAAAATTCTCACACTCAAAATCTCTAAAGCACATGGGAAATATCAAGCTTTTAAATGGGTTGATTTAACTTTCAAAATGTTGTTTTCATTTTTACAATATCTGTTCTTTCTGAGTTCTTGCATTGATGCATGTGTGATCCTAACTTTAAAAATGTGCGCAAGAAAATTAAATTGAGGAGTTATGGCTATTCCTGAGCAAAAATCAATTTATTTTCACAGCACTCCTCATTGTCTCTGTTTCTTTTTTCGTATCTGTAATCAACTGGAGATGAAAAATGATTGAAGCAGCTATTAATATCTGGTGAAGTGGATGTTTTTTAATGAGAGAAAAATTATAAATGCGCGATTATTGCTAACCTGTTCATTCCTTCTTTCGGGAAAGTTCAGGAAGATAATTGTGTGTTTACTTTAATTTAGGTCTTCTTTAGAATTTGATGCTTTGTGATGTTATTATGCCTGGGTGTGAGGGCATGTTTGGGATTGTGCTAAGCTCCTTCTCTGGCAATATTATGAGGCATGTGATCTCTTTTATAATCTCAGTTCGCTGTATTTTTGTGAGGATACCTGAAGGCCTTTTTGGGTATTTTGCAAGAAGACATTTTACACAATTACAGCTGTATTTGGTTTTTTTACTGTTATAATGAAGCCCAGATGATTTTTGAAAGGCCTAATCCTGTTTAGACTTAAACTGAAGTCAGTGACAGAACCCCAAAGCCAATGAAAATAAATCTGAGCCAGTCATATTTGTATACTTGTATACTACCATATTCATACATCAACACTTTTGACACTGGCCAAATATATTAATAAAATGGTACTAAGAAAGACCCCACAAAAAGACTCCTTATAAGTCACCTGAAAAGTCAGATTACCAACTCTAGGAGCACCAGTGAAACATGCACAGCACTTTATCAAAATCACATTTCAATAGCTTCTAGCTTTTGTTTTTCCCTTTCCTTGGGTGACATCATTCTGTGCAGTTTATAAGACACTGCTCTTACTTAAGGCATTCACCAGCAAGATGAGGCAGATCTATCACCTTGATGCTGCACCATCTGGTTTGGCAGTTACAGATTCCACCTTGCAGCAGAGAGAAGTGGAAAGATCCCTGAGTGAGCTGTGACCAAGCCAGCTCTGGACCAGGCTAGCAGGACTTGCAACAGTGCAAAACTACCTTCACCCACATTAGCCATCATTTCTGACTTTAGAGCATCCACCTCATGTGCCAGCATGGCTTACTAGGTCATGTGCAGCTATGCTGCTGTCAAGACTACAAAAAACATCCCTCTATAGTACTATGAGACCTTTTGGAGATAGCATGGACTTTACACTGGGTGTCAGTGAGTGATACAAACCTCCACAGTCCTTTCCAATCATACAAACACATTCTACTACATGTACTAAATCTACTGCCTGACTCTCCAAACCTGCTAACCTGCTCAGAAAACTAGTTCTTGGTTTTTTTCTGCATATGGAGCATTTAGATAAGGGGATTTGGTTTAGGTCTATCTATTTTTATATTAAATTTACCAGATAATTATCTGAATGGTGATTGAACTTGAGAAAAAAATGGAAAAGACTAGTAAAATGTTAGTTGTGCTGTACTTTTTTTTTTCTGAAAATAATATTCCTTTCCAGAATGACACAGGTGGTCAACGGAGTCTTGTGAACAAGTGGACAACATTCTTGAAAGCAAGACTTGTGTGCTCCGTGATGGATGAAGATGGAACAGAAACGTATTTTGATGAATTAGGTATCACAAAAAAAATCCCTTAAAAGTTTTATCTAAATGTTACACTCTGTGCATATTTAATTATTGATGTTCATACAGTTTCTTAGTCAAGTTGTTTACAGTGAAGTCTTGGCTCTAGAAATCCATGGTGCAAGTTCCCTTGTGGTTTTATGACAGGAAATTAAAAAATTCTTCATAAGTCTCTCTGCGTAAGTGTCATTACCTTTGAAATAAAGGTAATTAATCTTGACTTTGTAAAGGAATTACACATATAAAGAATTAATATTTGGAAGGGAACATCTAAGTTAATCTGTTACTATTTTACTACCAGTTAGGCTTACTATAGAGATTTTTTAAAATCTATTTGAAACTGTTTCTTATACCGCTGTTTAACACACAGCTTTTCCACAATACAGTTTTTCTATTTTTTGATCACAGGGTAGAGGCCTCAATTTGGTAGTTCAAGATAATACTAATAATTCCCGTTACTGGCATCAGCAGTAATATTGTGAATAGATATAATTTCTCAGGAATCATTCAGTCACATAGATTTTTGTTTCAACATGTGAAACACTGTAAATATTCAGTGCATAATCTATGCAGCAATCACAAGAGGGTTCCTTTCATTAAGGAATTAATAGATGCATATCTTGATAGCTAATTACCAAATAACATTATCAGAAGGTTTCAAATTCTGTGATGTCCACTGAAGTGTGCAGCTGAAGTGTGCTGAATCACAGTTATAAATTCAAGTATTGGAAGATTTGTTATGTGCATTAGTAGAAATATAAATAATGTAAATGGCTAATAGGCCCTGCACTGGGTCTGCATCTGGTTCTGATCTTCTCTCCACTGTATCATCTCACTCTTTTCTCAGTTGTTATTCCTGATTCTCATAATAGTAAATTGAGTTCGAAGTCTTTTTAAGTTTATATATTTACAACTCTTTGCTGTACTTGTTCAAGGTTTCAGTGGAACCTGGGCCTAGGAGCAGATCCTAACTTGCTCTAACTCAGAATGTGCAAGGTGCTTGGAGGACTGATTTTCTGAAGTGCACAGTGCCTCAGCACTGCCACAGAACTTGCCTTTCAGAACTGTGATTTACCAACCCCCTCCTCTCCACAATGCAGTAGGATAACTGCTTTTAGGGTTTTTTGTGTGACAAAACGTAGGACCATAGTGAATAGGATACAATGTTCTCAGCGTGGGCTCCTAGCACAATTCCCTAGCAAAGAGGAAGAATACAATCACAGCTGGAAATTCGGAAAAATGGGAGAGAGCAAACACATGCTTCTGTGTTCATGTATAATGCAGGAGAGTGTAACACTTCCAGTTCTGCATGGTGAAGTCTTTTGCTTTTGACATATTGAAAAGAATATTTAAAAAATTCAGAGGGTTAAGTGAAGGAGCCACATCAATTTATGGGAAACTAAAGAACATATTCTGTGATAAAAAGCTCAAACAGTTCAGTCGTTTTTGTGTTGTAAATTAAGAGGTAGCATGATTATAGTTATTAAAAACATTTGGAAGGAGAAATTGTCAGAAATTAAAGTAGTTTTCACTGAAGTGTAAAAAAAAGAATCAATAGATCAGAGGTAACAGTGGGCAAATTCAGTTCAGTGAGTAGGTACAGTTTTGCACAGTGCAGTTAATAAATCCCAACACAAAGGAGCTGGGAGGTTTACATCTCTCAATGTCTTCACTGCTAAGCTGTGTGTCATTCATATCATGTTGAGAATGAGCTTGTGAGGGCACTAGAGTACGTTCTGGATGATAAAACACCTAATTTCCCTGGTTTTGGTTACATCCATCTATGGGAACTCTTTAACTTACTGCAACTTCAGTGTTTGCCTACTGTTAAACAACCTGCTGAAACAAGATCCAGCTGAGAGAAATGTCTGACATGGATCCTGAATGTATTTGAAAATCTTTGCCTTCTATCTCCATAAAGCTAGATGATGTGGAGTTAATTTCCAGATCTGTTTCTGAATCTTCAAATGCTAGATTTATGTATATATGGTCTGTTGATATGGTAAGTCTGCTTTTTACTGTTCAAGTCTGAGACAAAATTGCCATTGACTTTAGCAGGAATAAAGTAATAAGTTAAACTAGAAAATAAAGAGTTTTGTTAGTATTCAAAGCATTTTTCTTTTTCCTTTTCTTTCTTTCAGAGGATGTGTTTCTTTTAGAGACAGATAACCCCAGAACAACGCTTGTGTATGGAATTTTTACAACATCAAGGTAAACGGGGAGGTTTGAAAAAAATTACCTTTCTGAACTGCCTGATTTTCTGTATGAAAACTCAAGCTGATTTTTGTGGACCAGGCTGTGCTGTGCAATTTTGTGTGTCTACTGCAGCTATTGTTTGTATGCAGGAGTAAGAGTCTCAGTACCATTACTGTTGGTATCCATGTTAGAGCTATGCTTCTTGGAACAAACTGCTTCCTGACATACTGTCAGCTGGCACTGGGAAAACATTTCCATGGAGGGCCACTTGTTACTGCTCAGCAGCAGAAAGCTAAATGACTTCAACACAGTGAACTTATGTGGCATCTGAGAGCACTTAACACCTCCTGAAGAACATCCAGCACCAGGAAAGATCAAACCAAGAATTCTTACATGAATTTATACAAATCATTTCCAGTCTCTCAGCTGGCAGATGATCATACAGATGGCAAATAATCCATATCAGCTTCAGTTGGCTACAAAAGGACAAGCTATGGCATTTGATCACCTGCTTGTAGCCCTAAGCTCCCTGTTACCAGTCAGTATTCACTTACTGTCCAGTTTAGAAAGCATTTAGTGAGCTCCCTAGGGTGGTGGAAGTGCTAGATATAGCTTACTGTGCTGAAACTCTCCACAAAGATAGACTGACAGGTGGAACCACAGATTCTGCCATTTTTTTTTTCATTTTCCCTCTTGCCCTCACCACATAGTGTTAGTATAGAGTAGAAATAGTTACTGCTTACTGATTTCTGATGTGTTATCCTATACTTCCTGTTACTTCTTACTTTCAAAGAGGTTTTCTGCTTTTTTTAATTTTTATTTTATTTATTTGATCAAATTAGCAAATTACGTAACTTGCTACCAATAATTTCTTTAATGGCAATTTCTAGTAAAAAAAATCCTTTCATAATTTTTTTTCCCCCAATAGAATTTTTTTCATGAGCATCCAGGGATCTGCTTTCTTAAATATGTAAATGACACAGGAGAATATGATTACGATATTTAATTGGAAAAAACCCCATCACATAACTAGTAAACATTTGGTTCTGTCTGCAATTTATGATTCCTGCTTCACAAAAACAGCAAATGATGAGGTTATGTTTAGCAGTAAAACCACACTTATGATTAGGTTGTGGATGCAACATGACTGAACTGGAAACACTTCTACCCAAATCTTCTGGTATTTCTGCAGTGGAAATGAGGTTTGAATCACAGGACCATATAAGGTGACAACAAAGAGGAAACTTCATTTTTTCCTGGCTCTCAAGCTATTTTCTCTCTCTGTTGAAGTTTGTACACTCATGCATTTCTGTTCCTGTGAACCACATGGTTTCTGCTTGCTTTCTTTTTGTTCAACTGTAGAATGTATTACCTAGTTAAACCCAGCAACCATAAGGATTTTTACTGCTTAACAGTTCCTGTATCATCACCTCTGTAGACTTCCAACTCATAACAGTAGCAAGATAGAAACATCACAGAAACCTAATAACTAGTAGTATTTTTGTCTAGATCATACAGAAGAAAACCAAGTAATATTGAAACAAATTATTTTACTGTCATAATACGCTGTAAAGCTAACATAAAACATCTGGAAAGACTAAATAAATGTCTCAAAATCTATTAATACATAGTAAAATTTCCACAAGTACCATAATCCATCTAAAAGGTTCCTTCTACTAATCCAACTGAGAGCAATGTGGATTTCACTTTCCTTGTTTAGACACTATGTGTAATGTTTTCATGTTTTCTTCTGGAGCGTTTTTTTCTTCTTCAGTTGAAAAAAATTACTTGGATTATCTTCATCCTACAGTTAACATCAGACAGATTTTTGGACTGTCTGGAGTTTCCACTTTTTAAAGATAAATATCACAAACCTTGCATGCAGTGAGAACACAAATGTAGTCGGTCCTAGCATCAGTCTGGAAATTATTCCCCTAATGCCCTTCATTATCACGGGGTGATGGAGACCATTCAGGGCTTCTGCTAACTTAACCCATGGCTAAGCCCAGAGCAGTGGGAAAAACATGCCCTTTTCTTAGGGGACTCCCTGGGTTCTCCTCAGGAAGCATCAAACTTGGGTCTTTGTAAGACCAGTTTTGTGGGTGGACTTGTGGACTGTATAGGAGTAATCCCTTTACAGCCACAGTATGTCCCCACTTTGCTTAGAAAAGCTAGCAACTGATTGTAATTATCCAACCAATTGTAATTGCTCTGGATATTTTGATTAATATTTTAACCTTGTATTTTAGGAGGCTTGTGGAGATCTTGTGGTTAATATACTGGTAGGGAGTTCTGGAAACCTGTGCTGAGCTTGGCAGTACAAAGTTTATAAAACTCTTGTCTCACTAAAGTCAGCAATATTTTTGCCATTGATTTAACTGGAGCCAGATTATATTTTTTTTATATTCAGCATTAAGAAGTGTTCTTATTGCACCACTAAGGCAGTGCCTTCCTTCCTCTTTTTTCAGTTCACTGTTCAAAAAGGTGCTAAGTCTTAAGAAGTAGTGGTGCATATTGAGCAGCTAGATTAGTTGATTTTAAATGTATTAAATCCATGCTATAGAAGGATTAAATTGTATCAAATATATTATTTTAGAGGTATCTTTCATCACTGGACCATGCAAAATGATGGAAAAACTTTCAAAAAGTTGGTAGATTGCAGTGCTAACTTTTTCCTGCTGTCTTCCAGCTCCATATTTAAAGGCTCAGCCGTGTGTGTGTATCATCTGTCTGACATCCAGACCGTGTTCAATGGGCCATTTGCACACAAGGAGGGCCCAAACCACCAGCTGATTCCATATCAGGGCAGAATTCCGTACCCGCGACCTGGCACCGTAAGTACAAAGATGTTTATGCAGGCTTGCCAATTGCTTGTCTTTGTTTAATACATAAATAAATACTATTTATTCCAGGAGGAAGGACTGTATGCGACTGTGACAGTTCAAAACTCTTTTATTTGCTTCTCAGTTGTCATACAAATCATGTAGTATCTGGAAATCCTCTAGAAAGAATTAGAAGTCATGTAAAATGTTAATCAGTCTTTCTGTTGAAAGAATTATTTCATTACTTGACAATCATCTTGTTTACGTATCCACTTCCATTTTGTGGGTATATTTGAGCAAAATGTAGCTAAATAAATAAGCATACAAAGACAGCGTTGTGAGTGTGTTCTACAGTCTAGATCCAAATGTCTGTAAGTCTGTCTTCAGTCTGTATGAATTTTCCATAGTTCTCTAAAGTTTTGCAGCTCTACTCAGATGCTTAGGAGACATAGTAGGAGATTTAGAGGAGAATAAGGTTTCTGGAACTTGTCATTTGGTTAGGCCTAGTACCCTGTCAGGTACTGAATCTTAGAAGAGGGTCCTAGAAATAGATGTGTTTTCATGCCAATCAGTTCACAGTAGCCTTCCTTGCTTTTTGTAGGCCTTGAAAATTTTTCAGGACTTTCTTTCACTGTGTTAGGGGTAGTAATAATCTTCCAATAAATTCTGTACCCCATTAGAACTAGTTCTGTTTCCAAGTTGTGCAAAAATATCTCATGAAATATTTGAAACAAAACTATTATTTTTTCTTGCTTTTCAATTTTATGGTACATAAAAATTGCTGTTAATGCACTTCTTTATTTATTTGTTTACTTACTTTTTCCACTATTCTTAATTTAGATTTAGCAGAAATATGATATGTAATATTTCCAACTTTAATGAAGAGTGTATGAACGTCCTCTAGAATCTTCCCTAAATCCATATTTGCTAAATGAAGTATAGTAGTGTGGATGCGTGTTGACTCCTGTGAAGTCTTAAAATTTCTTAAGTATCAGAAGGAAATAAGTATGCAGAGAATAATAAATTGTTTCTCAACAATGTAATTATATTTCTTTTAGATGAAAATTTTGTTGCTTTTCCATTTATCACAGGAAGTGAAATTTTGTTTTAATTTTGCCAGTCCCTGCAAGAACCTTCAACCATATCGCTATTTTATTCTGATTTGTCTTCCTGCTGCAAGATCTTGTTCTTTTTCTCTCTTTCTCTCTCGTACATAGAATACCTCAGATACATGGAAGAGCTCTCCTTATTCACACAATTCTTCATGACATTTTAGTGTGATTATAAGTGGGCTATAAGAGTTAGGTTCCCAGATCTCTAGAATTACCTAATCAATACTTGACATTCCACTAAGGTCTAATGCTAGCATTAGTCTTTCTTTGCAATTAGTACATACGGCTCTAATCTCATGAGTCCACTGCGGCTTTAAACTTAAACTTTACCAAAAAAAAAATTGATCCATTTAAACCGGAAGTTTCATTCTCTTGTCATTAGTCACATTTCAAGGTTTCTTGCTGCTTCAGAGTATTGTGTTTGTATGTGTTTCCTCAACCACTGCCATGTTATTCTTGGTTCACCTCATGGAGGCTTATGTGGTATTCCAGATGGGCCTGAAGAAATTGGGCAGCACAATGGAAAGGGATAAAAAAATTAGATTTGGATTTAATATGGTGACAGAAATTGTCTAAATTTTTGAGATGTGCTGAAGAGCTCTGAATTTGAAGATAAATTTTTAGATCATAGCTCACACAAAAAAACAAAGTCAAAAGAGATTCCTTTAGATGATCAGTGCTAGTTTCCTGATCACTGGCTTTTCTGTGCTATCTCACAATTCAGCCACAACATATATCTTAAAGGCATACTTTATAAGATGGAATTTGTTTGGTTTTGATTTTATTTCACTGCCCAAAATTTCCACTTTTCACTTATGTCAAAGCATCTGTGAAAATCAGGATATGGGGATTTTTTGCTGCCCAGAATTTGAGCTCAGAGAGTTAACTTTGATTAGCAGACTATGGGGTATGATCCTCTTTCCTCTGGAATGTACTTTTCTCTCAACTTCTGGGATGCTGGACTAAGCAGGGATGCCGTTTTATATGACATGGAAAATCCTCTTTTACAGTTGCCTGGACAGAAACGAATGTTCATCATATTGCAGTACCTTGGATCAACAGTGGAAAGGCTTTGGTGTAGTTTCAGTAGGATTAAATAAAGTAATAGGTTCTTTTGGCCATGATCAGCTCTGCAGTGTTTGGCTGGCCTTCACTAAATACCAATGGTTTCTTGTTTCTCCACAAGCAAAACTTACTTATGGAAAAAAAAAATACATAATTGGCAGCTTGCTACTAAATTCAGTGATGTTTGAGGATAGTTTCCATTTTTCAGAGTTTACAGAAATAGTTTTTGTACCTACAGCATGTTGGGGGAATATGCTGTAAATTAAAGAATTCTGGTTTTCTCTGCAATCTAACTGCATGGTGATCAACTGTGAACTAAAGATTGTGTAGCCAAGTCCTTGAATGAGGTGTGAAGGATACACATTCAATCCCTCCAGGAAAGGGATAGCTTATAGGGTTCTATAGTAACACTTTTTGTTTGTCATTGTTTTATACAGGGGATAGCAAAAGAATTAATTGATTAAAGATGTTTGTTAAGGCTTTGCTCAGAACACCAATATAATGTAAATTTTTAGGGTCATACTGGGGTGAACCATAACACAGACATTTTTGCAGGAAGTCACAGTCTTATGATCACCAAGTCAAGAATGGAAGGATTGAAAGTATCATAGAAAGTCTTTTAACTGAGCTATGTGAGACAGGAAAGTTTAATTTGAAGTGCTTATGAAACAGAATCCCTCTTGAGAGGAACTGGGGTCTGGCAGAGCACTACCAAATAGAATAATATTGCTAATGATGAACACAGTTCTTTTTTCAGTATTTGTTGCTAATCTTAACAGATAGTCCCATAAATTTTCTGGAAAACTGTGGATGGATATGCCAGGAAGGGGAAGAGTAGAGTGAGCAAGATAATAAGAATTCAATTTTGTGAACAATCTTAGAGGGCTAGCATGTAGTATCAGTTCTAATGAAAACAAAAAAAAAGCCCTTAGGATAAATAAGGGCTCAGAAAAATCAGTTGTCAAGGATGTCGAATGAGAAAAGCAACCAATATCTGAGCTGAGTTCTGGTTCTTCTTCCTGGAGGTAACTGATGCCAGAACAATTTCTTTTAAAGAACTCCTACCAGAGCTGTTCTACTTTGTATGAATAATTCAATCCTAATTGAGTCAGAAGATGATCCTGAAACCTGGGTTTAGGCTGAAGTCTCCTCTCTACTTGGTTCCTGGTATGCCCAATAAATAGTTTATTAGCTTTTAGCAGCGAGGGTAGAACAGGCACTCCTGCCTGTGGTTAGAGGAATCCCCTGGGAGGTGAAGACCCAAATTCCAACATTTCATCTCATCAGGTAGGTTGGACACATGATTCATATATCCCCAGAGAGTTTCCAAGTCTCTCAGAATATGATCCATTTTATGTAATTTTGGCCATCTAAAAGCAGGGCATTTAGTCTGAATTACTGACTTCAGAGGAAACCTAAGAATAAATGTCTGACTTAAGGCAGTAAAAGTCAGGTGAGGTAAATCTTTCCCCAAGCTACTGGCTATTTTGTGTCTGTGGTTTTGACCAGAAATTCCATCTTAGATGTAAGAATGGCCCTCGTCAAAATAAGAAGTTTTCGTCAAGTGCTTTTTATTGAACAAATCAGCATTTTCCAATTGGAAAAATATTGCATTGAAACACTTCTGAATAGCTCCAATACTCCGAGGAGAGTTTCACGGCTCAGAAATATGGTAAGGGGGAAAATGAAAGCCCAGGGGCAGCAATAGGAAGTAATGGTAGCTGAAAAAGAATAATGTAAATTACCATAAGTATATCCATAACATTGTAACAGTTACTGGCATAGCCCTGTTTTCTTCCCAGTCTTCTTTTAGTTTCACTCTCAATAAATAGTTGAGTTTTCTAAGATGCTTTTTATTTTCTTTAGAGGTCCAGAATGCCTTGGGGCTAATTATTTTGATGGTTCTTCATTATACTTAAAGAAGCATCCAGAGTATTCATGGACCTCAGTTATCTCTCAGGCAGAGGGGAAAGTATAAACAATCTTCTGAGAGATAAATGAGTTGTTACAGGACCCCCTCATCAACTCCATATTATTGCTTTTTCAAATGAAGATGAGTCACAGGCCCTTTCATCATCTCCAAATTACAACTGAGTGTCAGATTTTGTCTTTTGTCTTTGTAGTAATTCTGTAACAAACCGGATGCAAAAGTTTGATATCTTCCCATACTGATCTCTTGGATTTTTTCAATTTTTTTTTTCAACAGGCAGTTTGGAAGCATAAAGTATGTAAAAATATGTTCAGGATTAAAGACCTTAGTCATCAAGCTGTGTCCTGAAAGTGCAAAAATACATTTGTGTTTGTTTTATCAGCATTGATGGGAGTTCAAAGCGTAGCTATTCAACACTTCATTTCCATTACTGGAACATAACAAGTTTTGGTCAGTCTGCAGTGCTCTTGCAGGAACTTCCTTTGTCAACTTATCTGTCAATATTTGCAAATGACTTGGAGATGAATACTCTCTGAAAGATAGTATTGTTAAGCTTTACTGTGCACGTTTCTTACAGTGCCCGGGAGGAGCCTTCACACCTAATATGCGGACAACAAAAGAGTTTCCAGACGATGTTGTGACCTTCATTAGGAATCACCCTTTGATGTTTAATCCCATTTACCCAATACACAAGAGGCCGTTAATCATCCGCATAGGAGCCGACTACAAGTATACAAAGATTGCTGTGGATCGAGTGAATGCTGCTGATGGAAGATACCATGTCTTGTTTCTTGGAACAGGTAAGACAAAATTAGCAGCATTCATTTTCCTCCACTGCAATAAAATTTACAATCAACTCTGATTTGTACAACTTAGAGCTTTCAGAAATACTTGTTGAAACATTTGCTGTCTAAAAAAATGTCTATAGAAATCCATAAATTAGGTTCATTTTACTTTCTGTGCATTTTCGTATTTACTATAGACATCAGTTATGTGCAAGAAATACAATGTATTGATATTAATTTTATTTGAGACAGAAATCAACACTAGTGCATGTGTTATTGGTCCTAACTAATAATAGTTCTCTTGAATATGGTTTGTCTGCAACATGAATATAAGAATTTGATACCCAAATCTAGCTTTCTAATTTTTGTATACTCTCATCATTATTATTTAATATATGCTATGTAAACTACTTCTGAAGAAAAGCATGATCTGATCAGGATATTGCAAAGGCAGAAACAGCAACTCAGCCAAAAAAAGTGTAGTAATATGGAAGTACTTGGCAGAGAAAAGGAAACAAATGATCACAGTCCTAGCTGAAGTGGACACAGAGAATTTGATCCAAGTTTTCTAAAATAATTTCTGTCTAATATAACCTACATTTTGTTTCTAGTTACATCAGATTTGAAGCTGGTGTTATGCTTCTGAAGTCTGCAGGGTCAAGTGATTCTCGTACTGATCACTTTTGATTTTTTGAAATATTTAGGTATGAATCACACTGTTTTGATTGGAGCAGACAAGCAGAGTGGTACTCTTGCTGGATCCTAGGACTCATTCACATCTGAAACTCCCAGTGGCTTAGCAGGGCATTGTAGGTTGATAGACACAAAGGCTAATCTTTTTTACTACAGATGGTTTCAAGTAGAACAAAGGAAAAGAATTCCCGGAGAATAAATACGTCTGAACATCAGAAAATTATTACAGAGGTGGCTTGTGTTGCTTTTATGGTTCATATATTATTGGTATCCTGGTTGTTTTCTGTTTGTAGAATAACCATTCCTGCCAACAAACTCGCATGAGGCTGGGAATAACCATCTTGTGATAATAGATTTAGGAAGTAGGTGCTAAAAAATCTCTCAAGAATGTCCCCTCAAGGACAGGACTAACGGGAAGTTTCTACAATCTTCTTAGAAAAACCTCCCCAGCTATCAAAATCAGCAGGGTGCCTGTGTGCCAAGGGAGCCAACTGCATACTGTGCTGTATGAGTAGAGATATATTCAGCCAGCAGGTTGATGGAAGGGATTCTTTCCCTTCACATTTTATTATTTTTTTAAATATATAGTGGTGACATTGTCTTAAAATGATCTATAAACATCTAATGTTATTTGGGGAAACATTCTACTAAACATTAGTGGAAAAGATCAAGACATAAGTTTCCAACTCGCATAGGATTGTTAATACAGCAGTGATAGTTAAAACTGGAAATGTATTCGAAAGTTGAAATGTGCATGAAATCACAATATTAATTGTTAGCATTTTAATAATTCTGCAAGAGATAAATGTAGGTAATTTCATTTTATACTTTGGTGACCATCTGACTGTTTTTAGGTGATCAGTGTGGTCTCATACAGACACTTGTGAGATGTTAAAAAAACCCATCAATATACTTCAGCTTGTTCTTACATTATGTTAATCCTCTTCTTTGTATCAGCACAGGACCCATTATGGATCAGATAAGTAAATAATTGAAGCTCTTGATACTTTACATTCATTACTTTATCTTCTTCATTACACTGGAGACAAGGATCATTTTCTGCTTGCTAGTTAGTTGGAGGGGACACATTCTTCTTCCTGAGTAGGGCACAGGACATGAATAGCTTCCAAGGTCTTCCTCAAAAGAAATTGATGCAATGTAAGTTACTGCATTTCTCAGCCCTTTCAAATAAAAGTGATCAAGTTTCAGCCACTGAGAGGAGAAACTTGTTTTCTTTATACTCTGCTTTCTGTGAGACTCAGGAGGATTTGATAGAGATATTAAGTGTCAAAAGGAATGCAGAGGGGATTTGCTTTGGTGTCGGTTCATCCCGGCAAATGCAAAAACCACATTGTATAGGAGAATTTCATGTGATAATTTTCTTGGGAGCCCGGAGCCCCACAAACAGAGACAATGGGACTTGACACCTGGTGACAATTACACTCAGCTCAGATGATGAGTTACTGCTGCTGAACTGCGATGTTGCCAGCTGTGTCTGTCACTGTCAGTGACCTGTCTCATGCTTGAAATCGGAGTGTTTTATGTCTTGCCAGATGCAGAGCACACAAAATGTTTAGCTTTTCCTCTCTTCCTCCTCGATAGCCTTAGTAATAAATCAGTTCCTGAATGTAAGTGAAGAATAACAGAAATATAAAGCTCCGAGAACCCCAGTGGCTATCATCATGTCGCCATGGCACAGGAGGGTATAGGCAGCTCTGTAATTTTTTCACATTAATGTGAACTAAATGTAGTGTTTCCTTTGCTCTCCCAGACAGAAGTACTGAGTTCACAGGGGCTGGTCCATGCCCACAGTTAATATGCTGCTTTTCTCCCTTGCTTGGCTATGTAACAAACAAAAATCCCAGGGACAGACATTGCTCTCATGGCACTCCACCCACTTTTCAAATGATAACCATCTCCTGTTTTGCCATTGCTTTTCAAAATGAAGACTACCAAAACACTTAACAAAACTTGCTGATTTTGTTAGGTCCAGCCAAAGGGATCTCTTTACTCCCCTCTGGCATGAGCTAACTTGGAGCAAGGAGCAAGTCTTGACTGGTAGAGAGCAGTGCTACAAGAGAAGAGTGCTGTCTACCTTGTCTTCCCAAACAGAAACACAAGACATAGTTTATTTGGAAAGAATGTAGTCACTCATTTGCATATTTGACAAGTGCAATGCTGATGATATTTTTTTCCCTATGAAATGAAGAATTACATATTCAGTTCAGGAATTTGGGATTAGAGTTATGTTTCTATTATCCTGTTACCATCATAGGCCAGGACTCAGTCCTGAATTTTTGGATTCACCCTAGAGTTGTACTGTGATTTCTTTACTCATTTCCGTTTTATCTAAACAACCTGAGCTTTCAATATTCTCTGTTTATCCATTGGTAGATTGTTTTCCATCTGAATTTTAAAACAGCGGTAAAACACCATGAGAACATTTTCATGAGATTAATATTTATTTATTAAGCATGCCACCTACTGCTTGCAGTACGAAAACCTTCTGTCAAAGTACACACAGATTGCACAACTAAAAGATTATGCATGGGGTTTTTTATTGCTCATGTGTTATGAAAATATTTAAATGTCTGGGTCAAACTTGGGTACATTAAACAGCTGTGGGCACCAATGGGATTTTTTTTCAGCTCCTTGCTATCAAGATAGGATATGTTTTTGTGGAAAGAGATCTAAGTTACTGTTGTAAAAAGGCACTTCAGACTTCGATGTGACTTATTCAGATGATTAATGTCGGCTGCATGCATCTCATGTGGTGTTAGGTAGATCAATGTTTCTTATTATCTTTTCTGATGCAACATTTGTTTTCGAAGTCTTGATGCAGTATGTGCCTCCAGAGCATAAGGTTGTAATACTCATTTTCATGGTGTCATATGATGGCTGTCTTTTTGGAAAACTAACCCTTGCTGACTGTGGCAGCCTCCAGTAAGGCAATAGCCAAAATCATGTAATGATCTACAGAGTCTAATGGAGAGAGATAATCTGGTCAGAAGAGCAAGGTTGCCTCCCATAGTTTTCCTGGCTGCAACTTCTTGACTGTGAGCTTGGAAGATGATGTTGCACAACAGTGGCACAACAGGCGTCAGATAGAGTTTCCTTCTTCCTCTTGGTCATTGTGCCTGAGTCATTTGAAACCTTTTGTTGACCCACTCATCCAAAGCTTTTTCACAGCCTTTTAAGAGGATATGTAAGTTAAGAGGGCGTACCTCCACCTGCTTCATTTCCCCTGATCAGTTTTTATTCAAACAAGCTCTCATTGTGTCCCAAAAATTTAACCGAGGTGGGGCTGTACGAAAATATTGCCCTCGAGTGTGTGAGCATTTGTATCTGTCTTTTTGTCCTTTGATGCAGCTTGAATTTTATGAAGTTTCACAGTGGTACTATGAGCTGGAAAAAAATTACGCCCATTTGACAGATGAGTGAACTAAGCACAGAGTGATTAGTGTCTGTGGTGGGAGCTCTGAGTTACAGCAGACACCCAAGGACAGCCGAGGGCGTGGGAACGTGGCTGTCAGCCCTGACTGCTAACCTGCCACCATCTCAGGTGCTCTGCTGAGCCTCAGCATTTTCTCAAACAGACAGATTTTAAACATTTGGTAAACTTTTTGCTTTCTTTTTTTCTTCATAATGTTATTTATGTGCATCAGGCTCAACTCAGATTAGAGACCAAAAATAATTAAGTTGCCATTAGGCTGACAGGTACAACATGGAGAAAAGTTTTTAGAAGGTCTCCAGCAGTGTCAGACACATCAGGGGTGGGGATTACTGCAAGAAGCATCTCAAACCTCATGTCAAAGTAGACATTGCTGCCCATTGCAGTTATTTTTTTTATGATGTGGAAAATTCAGGTTTCTTTATTTGTCGATTGCTCAGTTGGTGCGTGTGATGTGGCTCAAGGGTAGATGGGTCCTGATTCTCTTTGAGGCTCACATTACTGACAGCTGCAGTGTTCACTTAGGACTGGGGAAACAAAAGCTGGTCAAAATTCAGAGAATGATGTTTAAACTCAGACCTTCAGATTCAGTCAAACACCTCTGTATTTGTAATTTCTGTTCATCAAGCTTTGCTTTCCCCCATTGCCAGCCCTATTGGGAGTTAATGTAATCAGGCACAGGCTAACTGGTATTGATGAAGCTTAGCTGATTAACATCAGCCCAGAATCACACCTTGCATTTCAAGGAATATTATTATAATTCTGATTATTATTATTTGTCTCTTCTGCTTCTTTCCTTAAACAATTTATTGGACTACTTTCCTTCTCCATTTATTTCCCACTCTGCATACTTTCTACACTATTTTTTCATCTTCACTTTCCTCCCTTGCTGTTCCCAGTTTCTTAGTCCTCTCAGAGGGAACGTGATCTCATTATCATTGCTCTTCATGTCAGGCTGGGACACCTGCAGTTATTAAGCAGGTTTGAAATGGAAAAACATTTTGAGTTGCCCTTGTCCTCTTGCTGTCAGCTTGAGGGAGATTCCTTTTTGTTTGTCTGTCTGCCCTTAACTTACAGACTGCTGAGTTGATGTGAGGCTGCAAACAGCTCCCGGTGAAAAGTCAGGGAAGTGGTGAGCATAAATCTGCCTCTTCACTTCCAGTGGTGGATTGATATTCTGGAGACGCAGTAGCTTTTTCATGACGGTGTGAAATCATAGCAATGCAGGCCTGCTTTCAAGTGGATTTCTGGAAGAAGCAAGTAAATGGTGAAGGAAACCATCCTGTTAATTTTTATGATTTTTACAGAATTATCTTATAATTTCATACATTGATCCAAACTTGAAAAAATTTGACTTGTACTTCTTTGATGATCTCTTCTGCCTGATTTACAGTGCAAAAGATTATCTGTTGAGAAATACACTGGGAAACAGCTCAGGCACTGCTACTTTGCATAAATCTCTTGCAGTGCACAGTGCTGCAACCCTTCCAACTTTCCCCCTGACCCAGGGAATTTAGTTCACTGCCTCACCATTAGCAAAAAGAAGTAAATAATATTTCCAACAAAACTCAAATATACCATAAGTTTTCTGACATGAACACGTGTAAGTGACTTGATTTGTTAGCTACCAATTTGTCTTTACACTGGAGACAGCAGTGCTATTAAGAAAGAAATAAGAAGGGGGGATTGGGCACAAATACTTGCTTTTTGTTTTTTAAGGAAGAGGCTGAGCAACAGGAGAAAAACTATTTTTAGAAGCAATGGGAGGACTATAGCCTATAAGCTATATATTATTGGAAGTATTTTATTTTTATATATGTACAGACTATTGGAATCCCTTGCTTTAAGTAATTTCATTTAATTAATAGCTTTCTACTGCCTACTTGAATATTTATTTTAATTCTTTTATTAAGTCTCCTTTAAAACAATAGAACATTCCTTTCTGCAAGGATCTGTCCCTCATGGTATAATACTGAATCAAAGCAAATGGTAAAATATTGAGCCAAAGGGAGTGAATACTTCACTCTGTGTGTTTTGCTGGGGTGTGACACAAAATGTAGATAGGACCCTACTTTACAAATAGTAAAGGCTATTAGGACACAAGGACTTGGCGTCAGGCATTATCAGTACTTTCTGTGCCAATGCCCAGGATAAAATCTCCCCTGAGGTTCTGACTTCAGTTTAGGGCAATGTTTGAGGACTCAAGACAATTTAGGAATTTTAAATGTGTGGCATGTGCTAATGGATCATTGACATAAACCGGTTCTTCAGAGGCTCAGCAGCCTCACATTCCTTTGCAGGTAAGGTCACTGTCAACATGGTTAGTACCCTGTATGTCATTTGCAAAAAAGCCACAAAAGGCAGTTGCAAAAAACCCACAAAGGGCTGCAGCTCCTTCCTGCACTTCTTATTAAGTGTTTTGTAATGTAGAGTCTAAGGTGAGAGAGGGAATTGATAAAAGGGTGCAAAGAGGCAGGGGTGGACTGGACTGGAGCCGTGTATATTTGTGAGTAGGTTTGTCCATTTAGTAGGAGCAGAAATACACACACTGTTTTCTCCTTACCTCAATGAGGGATACATCTGCAGCAGTTTAAATCTTTGGTGGGTCCTGGCAGTTAGTAAATCTCTCTCAGGTTCTCACAGCTTTGCTAATACTGGCACCCAGGCTAGACCACAGCTGTGCTGCCACAAGATTTAGTTTCAGTAAAGTTTCTTCAGAAGGAACTGGTTTATCATGCCATTGTATAATGAGAATAAATGTCTCAGTAGAAAATTCTCATGAAAAATTCATGCCTAACATGCCCTGAGCTTGTACAATTGATAGCTACCTATTTTTAAGTCCTGTCAGCTTTCAGTTTCTCTTTTCCTTCTTTTCTTTAAAGACAAAATACTGCAATGTGCTCTCTGTGTGTGGTCAAGTCAGTAAATATCAATATTCTGGCTCTAAACCCTTTTTTTTTTAAATTAAAATAATAATAGTTGTTGATTATGTTACTATTATTATCATTATTATCATTACCATTATTATTATTATTATTATTATCATTATATTATCATTAGATGATGATGATGATGATGATGATGATGTTTCCTCAGGGGAAATAAGAATATGTAACTTATTTACAGTAACCAACTTGCCCTGCAGCTCTAGCTATGGAAATTAGTCACTGACCTTAAAACAAAAGTAAAATTGCACTTTTTCAGCTTACGTTGTCTACATTATGAATTGCGAAACAGGAAATTTCCTTTCCTTGGTATCAAATTTGTAAAAATACATGTCTTGCCTATATTGTGCTGTACTAATGTTTTACTAATGGCACAGCTCTTATAAAACTTTTGATGGCCAAACAGAATCTATGCCATGTGTTCTCATCCCTCAGAATCAATACTGAGCAAATATATTTAATCTACTCAGGCTAATTTCTAGGCCTTTCAGGCAAGAGGAATTCTATGTGCTGTGCTTCTTCCAAGTAAAAATACTTGTCCTTGTGATTATCCCACAGTCTGTCTTTTCTGCCACACCAGAAATACTTCAGAGGCTGTCTCAGCCTTTAAGAGCCTTCACAGATGGACTCCTTCATCTCATATATTTTTTCAGCATAACAAATTTGGAAAACTAATCACAAATTTCCCTTTGGTCTCACTCATCACATCTACCCTGCAAAAACACTGTCAGTGCCACATCCTTTCTATTTCTTACTCCTTTGATCTGAGTGGATTTGGGAGGCTTGGAACTGTATTTTGAGAGGGCAGCTATGATATAATAGCTACTATAACTTCACCTTGCTTTTCTTTTTTACCATATAGACAAAATATTAACTCCTAGCAGTATGTAATGATTGATTATTGTTTGAATTTCCTAAAAAAACGTTTTTATCTTACTGTGTTTAGGTGTAGATAGAGTTATTCTTTGGCAGGCTTACCTGTCATGTCATCAGTTAACATAGCATGTTATTATTGAATATGAATATATATTAAATTCTGCAGTAGCTCCCTTTTACCTGTTTATATTGCTGTGTTTTACTTTAAGATCATTAGGATAGATTCTGCCTCTGTCTGTGTGCCTACAGCAACTACTACAGAAGATACTGGTTTTGACTGATCTTTTTGTGTAGAATGGTAACATTAATGGTAGTACCGTAACTCCAATCTTACCATGACTTCTTCATGTTCATATATGAGAATAATACTATATGTAGTATTCCTATGTAAGGAATCATCTTATTATTCTTTCTGACCCCAAAACCTCTAAATTACTGAACATTTCATATCTTTCTCCATGTCATAGTAATTGCTTTGATGGTTTCTTTTTATAATTAATAAAGGTTGATCTCCTTTTTTCTTTCTCTCACTCCTTGGTCTCTCTTCACATGGTTTCACTTGTTCTCCTGTTTTCCAGATCAAGGAACTGTACAGAAAGTTGTTGTCCTACCCACGAACTTCTCTGCAAGTGGAGAACTCATTTTAGAAGAGTTGGAAGTTTTTCAGGTTTGGCTTGCTCCTACTTTTACTCTTCCAATGTGTATGTTCACACAAACACTTGTTCTAACAGACTTTGGCAAGGGCAACTGTGATTTGATAAAAGATCAAGTAAATGTGCATACTGTCAGCTTGATAAATACACAAAGAGGAATACAAAATATCCACTGTTATGAAGGCTGTAGCTAGCTGAAGTCATTTTCTTCTATATTTCAGTTGCTTATTTTTTATATTGTTGTACTGGCTAGAAGGATTTTGATAATCACATTTTTACAAGGTCATGTTATAGTAGCTGCCAGAAGGCAGCTTTTATCACTGGCATCATGTATTGAGACTGTCACTATTTACAGAAGGAATCTAAGACTTCTGTACTTTGATTATCTGATAATCTTCCTGGTTCTGAGCTGCACAATGGAACCAAATTAGTGTTGTTTTTGCTTAACTTCCGTTCTTCAAAGCCACATGCCTCTGGAGTCAAGAAAGCTATGAGCTGTGAACACAACATAAGCTGAAAAGAAACACAAGAACTGCAGAGAGAAATAAGGGAATAGCCTCTGTCAATCACTCTGGCATGTAACAGCTTGTAATAACCTAAAGAAAATGTTCTCCCTCATGCTAAAAAATCTCTTTCAAATATTTGAATGGGCTATTCATTAAACAGTAGTCTTGGGGCAAATGGTAGTGTTCATCTATAAACTTAGTTAAGGGTTTTGTCATGGTTTATTTCCTTCAGGGAATACAGAAAGGAAAATTTAAGATTTTTTATCTAGGCAGAATTAACAATTTCTTTAAGAAAAAGAATACACTCTGTGTTAACCCTCATAAAGGCACAATTAGTCTTTCTAGGCTTTTGTTGAAGATTTCCCTAGATTACCTAAAATCATACCCTTCAGTAAAGTATTGCTAATTCCACTTACTGAAACAGATATTATATAGCAAGAAGATAGGTGGGCTGAGAGGAATCTTCACCCTAAACCTAGTTTCTGGGCCTCTATGCACAGACCTTTTAATCCTGAACCCTAAAAATCATGATATCATAACCCCTGCCATTGCAATCTGTGTGGCAGCGTGGTGGTATTTAGATGAGCCTCGCCAAGAGAGCAGGGATGAGATCACTTGTTGTGTGCTAATAAATATTGAGAGCAGCAAAGGAGGAGTGATTCTCTTCCAGAGTATAAGCAAGGAAAGGAGAATGTGACATTGAATCCAATGTTGGATTTGACCTTGAGTCTCCAGACGGTTCATGAAGTACTACTGCAGCTCTAAACTCCTTCAAACCTATGCCAATTCACAGGATTCGCAGCCAGATTTTCTAGTCCTGACCTCCCTGCTGTGTTGTAGTCAACTGCAATTAATCCTAACCCAGTCTTATGGCTTTCATTTGTGACTGAGCAAATGCTAAATCTTAAAGAAATGCTGAACATTTTTGTTACCATTAATTTTATCACTTGTTTGGATGAGAATAATGACTTGTATCACTTGCTTAAGGCAAGGAATGTAATAATTTCTTTTCCAGCTCTTTAGCATTTGCTTTGGACACAGACACTAACTGACTGCTGGGATGACACACAGTAGTATACAGTACTGTCTGTGGGAAAGAAACGTTCAAGAACACACATGCCACTTTAAATATTCTAGTAATTGATTATTTGAATTTGTATATAGGATGGTAACCAAACTGTATGTACTATAGGTAATTTGTAGGAAAAATATGTCATATTCTTATCTGCATCTTGAGCTACTGTATGATTTTTCCTTATCATTATCATCTAAGAAAAAAAATGTTTTCTTATTACACAGTTAGAGTAATGGCTTTAAAACACATTGTTCCTATATTGCTGAGATAACACAGATGTAGGTTATTTATAAGTGTACAAAAACCTCGTTGGTGCACATTAGTAATAATAACCTGGTTGAGTTTAATGTCTTGTAAAACAATTAGCAAGACATTAATTGTATATATGTCATTTGTTTAGTTCTGAAAATAGCAAAAATTTAGTAGGAGTGAGTGATGCCTTTCCAGGATATGAAAATGTATGCTTTTCTTAGATAGGACTTAGGTTTTAGTGCTTTTTAAATTTTAATGTTGGGACTATTAAAAAGAGAGTTTTTGACAATCTGGTTTGTAACTTTGTCTTTCAGAGTAATTCTCCTATAACAACAATGAAGATTTCATCTAAAAAGGTAAAGAAAAGTGGAATGGCTAATTAGTGCTTATTAACGGAGAAGCAAATTGACTTAAAGTTGTTAGGATATCAATTCTTGTGGAGCATACTAAATATAGGCATATTTTCCATAATGAATACAGAAAACTTGACTGACATTTGCAGGAGCTGTTTATATGCCCCAGAGCCACTAAAATAAAATTTCTATTCATTATGTAAAATTTCTAAATCACTGAAAGTGTCGATTTTTTTGTTGTTTTGTTTGGCAGTTAAGGAACCAAAAAAAGTACTAAAAGAGGAAATTTGCCCTCCCCTTGTTGTCCAAAAATCCTAAATAGAAATTTTCCCTTGGAAGTCTGTCTGATCAATGTAAAAAGGCATTGTTGGGGCTGTTGGGTCCATGGTGCAATTGTGCACCTTTGTTTATTAATAATAAAGGATAGCAATAAGAATAACAAAAACAGCTGAAAGGATTTCTGCTGAAATGTTAACCATGCAAATTAAAAAGATGTATTCTATGATTTTGCAAGCAAGATGTTGCTCAATATTTCACAAAGCTACTACTTAGTAAACATTATTCACTAAATTGAATTCAGTGTAATGTTCGACTTTTATGACAAAAAGATCAAAGTAGTTTCAAGCGTTTTGTTCAAAATTAATTTATATTTTAAGAAAAATTGATTAATTTTTTTTGAGTAAAACAGTCATTTTGGCTCAGATTTTGGTAATAACCTATTCGCTTTGAACTTCTTTTGCAAAAGCTCTGATTTATTATGAAAGTTCATTTGGCTTATTTTTCCAGGTATATAAGGCTGTCAGAATCTGGCCCTAAGCCTCAACATAATCTCTTGGTTTTACATCTTGGAAATCTGTGCTGTGGAGAATCCAGCTTGGAACTCTGCATAATATTTATTAAAGGGACTATGTGTAGTGAAAATACTTAGTTCAAAGGCTCGAGCCAGTAATCCTCACTGAATAAGAACCAAGTTCTCAAATCTGAGCAATATTAACTCAGCCTGTTTGCCCAAGAACAGAACAATGACACTCAATGTCCAAAAATCCATTACATTCCCGAGTGTTTCTAGGTGTTTTCTAGCAGGAAGGTAGAAATATTATAGACCTGTTCAGCTGGGAGATTTCTGTTGATATTGCCTTTATGTATATTAGTGGCTCCCCTCTTGGTTCTTGAATTAATTCCAGAATTAATTGAAAGGCTTTTAGGTGTGTTAGCCAAGTCTCGGGTGAAACTCCTCCACATCTGAAATAAATCTTTCCATTTCCTCCTGCAGCAACAGTTGTACGTGAGCTCAGATGAAGGGGTCACCCAGGTGTCCCTCCATCGCTGCCACATCTACGGGACCGCCTGTGCCGACTGCTGCCTGGCCCGAGATCCCTACTGCGCCTGGGATGGCAACTCCTGCTCCAGGTTTTATCCCACAGGAAAAAGGTGAGCAGTATTAAGCGGCCCTGTGAAATCTGCAAGGAGGGAAGGCTTTTGTTCTGCTGTGTGGCCTGGAGTGTTGTAGTGTGATGGAGAAATGGGATGTCATTCCTTTCATGAGCATGTACAAACAATACCTTCATACCGATTGTGCTTGGAATTATTCATCACCTAGGATTGTATGCTGCAAGAGTGTATGATAAAGAGCTTGGCTTTTCATATTTAAAGTAATGGACAGAAAAAAAAAAAAAGAAAAGGAATAAAATGGTTCCTAATCATAAATATTAATCCATCTGTCTCATGCACACAAAAATCAGTGAAACATTCATTCCCTTTTTTAAATTCAGTTGCCTTCTACGGATGTAATTATGGTAGCCCTGAATACAGCTGAATATCTCTTGGGCTGTCTGAGGAATAAATTCATTAATATTTTTTTGTTCCTCATTTGCTCCTAAGTGAGAAGAATTATTGCCAGGGAACTTATAGGCAAATGTGATTTCCATGTAATGCCTACAGGTTTGGGGTTTTTGACATGAGATTTATTAAAGCAGACAGGGAAAGTGATTTGTCTTTAATTTACAACAGAGCTAATAGTCCATCTCATAATTCTTATGTAAAACAGGAGCGACTTTCCTGCTCCTAGGGGAAGCTTTTGAGAGCAGAAGGCTGTAGTGAGTTCTTGTCTTACTAAGATTTCAGTTCACATACAAATAAAGTTACAGAATACGTAATGGAGTCTTACTGCAGAGGAGACAAACCTTTCAGATTCATGCACTCTACAACTACATGAAAGGAGGGTGTAGCCAGGTGGGGGTCAGACTCTCCTTCCAGGTCTCGAGTGAGAGGACAAGAGGAAACAGCCTCAAGTTGTGCTGGAGGAGGTTTAGATTGGATATTAGGAAAACTTTATTCAGTGAGAGGGTGAAGCATTGGATGCCCAGGGAAGTGGTGCATTCGCTGTCCCTGGAAGCATTGAAAAAACACATAGATGTGGTGCTTAGGGACATGGTTTAGTGGTGGATTTGGCAGTGCTGAGTTAATGGTTGGACTCCATGATCTTAGAGGTCTTTTCCAACCCAGATGATTCCATGATTCTATTCTATGGTTCCATGCCAGAGCTTTACCTGCTGTGTGTCACAGTGCTCACTGCCTGCACCTGAGCTGCATGTGCAGAAGGCCACAAATACAGTTACTGGGTTTTACTCCTGTATCCTCATGGAGGGAGACAGGAAAAGCTTGGATCTGCTCCAGTGATCCAGACAGGTGATAACAATGTCATCCCCTGGGATTAAAGACAATTGTTTTTTGTCATTGCAGTTTTCTTGACTCATTCCTTATTTGAGATTACAAAGTAAAGCCCAACCTGGCCATGTAGCAATTGATAAAGTACATGCAGTTTTTACTGCTTTCTTTCAGCCACAGCTCTGCAAACTGATTGTTTTCTTCCATAGAACAAAGGTCAGAAGATGGGGGGGGGGAGGAGAGAAAAGAAAAATCCCCAAGTCTCAGACCACCTTAGTCCTCCACTAACATAGCTGCTGAAAAGTACAAGGAGCAGTCGGATATACCCAGCCTCTGCAGTTTCCAGTGGATGCCTTGCCATCTCCATTATATACACCCACCCGTGGTTATTTCCACTGGGGCTTGCTTTCACGCTGACATTTTGTTTGCAGTTTTTATATCAAACCAAAATAAACCCCTAAAACTGTCTGGAAAAAAGTTTGGTTTTCATATGTGAAGGAAATTTATCTAACAAGACAGAGTATGAAGGAGAAAACATTGGTGATTAGAGCCAAATCCTATAGTCTAGACAGTAGTTTCTGCTGCATGCATTTGCTTATTTCCTTCTTTTGACACTTCTGTCTCCCGTGAATTACTGTAGTTCCTCATCCAACATTGATTTATCCCCAAACTCCTGACAGTATTAGCTTAATTTTCTTACCACCACTTCTTTTTTTTTTTATAAATATCAAACTGTAAATTTACATTCTCAGAAGTGCTTAATGCAAATGACATGCCATTTCTGACACTGTGGAGCAGCTCACAGTAGTAGCACAGGAATCCTGACATTTACTCAGAAATTCTCCATTGCCTCCTTTGACTCACATAAATACTTTACAAGGATTAAAAACCCAAGGCATAGCATGAAATATTTTTGATGGTAAACATCAAAACTATACTTGGAATGTCAGAAATTACTCCTTTGAAACATTACCTTTCAAATGTTTCCTTTTCAAACAATACAGTGAAGGATCAGGTGACAGAGGATTATAAGCACTGTCTCTGGGTGTTTGTGCACTACCTGGAATAATGTGGCCATGGAGGCATCACCCTTCACTCTGTGGTACTGCAGCTCCTGGGGCTTTTTCTGGTTTTGGATCCTGAGAGCCCGTAGTGCAATGGTTCAGAATACAGCTGTCACATATCACAGCAACATCCAGTTGCAACAACCTCTCACAAATATATTTTTCTAGTTGATAAATACTGAACTACCTTACAGAATATTTAGCAAAGAAAATAATTTATCTTAAGATTAAAAAAACTGTGTACCAGCTTTTCATGCACTGAATTCTGTGAGCTGTGACCTCCTAGCTGAGGACTGAAATGCCAGTATTCCCAGTCCCAGTAAGCTCCCTAGACAATTTGGTACAGAGTTATGATTTTGCATCAGTCATCCAGATAATATGATAAAGTTTCCATTTAGAAGTATTCTGATACTTACTGAGTTCTGTTATATTTTGGAAATAGTCACATCCCTCAAGTCAATAACAGAATGGAATCTTAGCTCTCCACCATTCTGGATGAACACTTCAGTCACTCTGCTGCCAAGGTGGCTACAGGCTCCAAAAATATGGTGCCTGCTAAAACTAGAGAGGGAGCATGCCCTATATCATAATTTTCTGCTGGTACATTAGGTATGAGCACTATGACTCTCATACATCTCATTCTTAGGTGCTTGCCTTTATGAAGAGCTCCAGCTGGGGCTTCTGGCTTTGAATGTTAGGTCTTCATGAGTGAACAGATGTCTTTTTCATGTATCACTTCTAGTCTTTCCAACTCTATACCTCCATTGGAAAACTACTTTACCTACCAAAACTACAACCATTTTATAAACTTCAACAAACTGATTCTTCACTTAAACATTATCTCCACTCCAGCAAGCCTGCCAAGAGTAAAGCACACTCACAGTAGGTAATGAACTAGCCCTAACAGTTGATCTAGTAAAAAATAAAACAAAAATCCAAAAATAAAAAAGTGTTTATTTGCAGTGTAGTTATCTTGGAATAACATTTTTTTTTTACAAAATACTGCAGGAGGAGTCGCAGGCAAGATGTGAGACATGGAAACCCTCTGACTCAGTGCCGAGGTTTCAACCTGAAAGGTACTATAATTTAGAGATCCTCATGCTATATAAAGAACCTTTGTGTGATTCATCATAACTCACATTATCTGTGTGGTTTACTGGTAAAGCATAATTATTTTCCAAGTCCAAGTTTTGGGTTGGTTTGGTTTCAGCATCTTTTCTTGCAATTGCATGAAACTTGCATATATAGAATACATAGAATATATATAGAATGATGAACCATGAAATACATAGTTCATCATACTCAAAATGAGAAGTTGGCCATATATGCCATCAGGCCAGGGGCACACATCAGAGAATTATGCTCCTTTCACTTCTGCTTATGATCCTGAATCTTGAAGTACATTCTCATCCGTACCATCTGGAGACCAAATAATAGACCTGACTGTAAATTTTTTACTGATTTTTTTTTTTTTAATAGAAGAGCAATGTTTTAAGAATTACCTGTGAAAAAAGTTCCATTAATAATTACTCTACTGAAACGGTCTCCACGGGGTCTCAGAAAAATGTCCTGGATCAAAAAGGACCACAGCAGCCAGTCGGGTGTAGATTCCTCAGCTCAAATGGGTCTTTCCCCATGATTCAGTATTAGGTCATTTATATGAAACTGAGTAGCTTGAACAGGTAACTACAAAAGCTGACCCCAGCATTGGAATATGCACCTGAGCTCTGAGAGATCCGTACTGAAGTAACTTGAGCTGTGTATCCTCCCTTGCAGGCATGTGCTGTGACCTCCCACCCATTGTCTGTCCCAAGGGTGGGAGTCTTCTCATTCCTTGTGGAAAATGTGAGAATGTCAACTCTCTGCCTTCTGGGCTGAGGGGAAACAAATGTTTCAACCTTGACAGTCTTGGAAAACAGGTTTCTTGTTTTCCAACCACTTTTTTGATGTGGATGTATTTATAGATTTATGTGTTTTAGCAACTTTATAAAGGATGTCTTGGTGACAGAAGTGGGATATAGCATAGGTAGATGGCAGTTGTTTCCCTGGTGGAAAACAAGATAAAAAGAAACAGCAATTTAGACTATTTCAAAATATAATGAGGACCATTTATAGCAAAACTACTATGTTTGGGGGAAAAAATGAAACCTGTCTACAGGACAAAGGAGCAGAGAGACAGGCAATAGCAAGAAATCTTCCAAGTTCGTAGAGAACCATAATGTTGAATCAAAGCCTTTAAATACAGTAGGTTCTGTGCCTTAGCTCTCTAAGCATGTATAAACTCAATATTTTTGGCATATTGTAATTTTTAAATGCATCATCATGAACTAAGGGTCTTGTATGATTGCTTTTCAAATGTCTGTTAATATTGTTATGCTTGTGTTAGCCCTTATGGCCATTAGAGAAATGCATTTGTGTTCTCTCAATCTTTTTCTCAGCATGTATAAGTTGTAGTAGTATAGAGTAAGCAGAACATTAGATATATATTGATCAATTAAACAGAGAAAATTGTCTGTCTGTGGTACACCTAGTTCCAGCATACATAAAAGTAATATTGTGGTACACCTGTGATTCTCCACAGCTACAGATAGGTCAGCCCACAAAGTTATTTTGTGGCTTATGGCCTTTGAATACAAAATATTTCTGCGTTATTCTGCTAAAGTTAGAATTGGTTTTGGTACAATATCATAAATGTGCTAAAAAGTTTGAAGGCAGTCTCCTTCCTTTAGTAGAATAGATTTTAATTTCATATATCAGTTGATAAAAGTAGCTGAAAAGAATGGGAGATAAGTAGAGTCTGAGGAAAACCAGTCTTAGGACTGTTCAAAAACAGAGTCAGATTTTAGACATGTAACCTCTAGGTATTTGCACTTCTCATATTATTTGGTGTCCATTGCTCCTTTCTCAAAAAGAAAAAAAAAGAATTGTATTTCATTTATGAAGCAAGCTTTTAAATCTGGAGGTATTTTGTTTTCAGGACAAATAATGTGGTTTGGGCCAAGCAATAAGCACCTAAAAGTTTCTGTCAGTGACTGCCAATTGTTCACCCATCGAGACTATAAAGGGACACAACAAGTCTAAGCGATGACATATGCTCAGCACTTGCCCAGGTGTTACTGGAGTGCTATAAATCTGTCTTTCTCTCTGTTGCTAGCCTATCTACGTATTCATCACATTTAAGATTGAGAGCCAAGTCCCTTCCTTGTGTTGGAAGAGAAGCAGAAGAGCAGGAGCCCAGCCTGCTCTCTCTCTCTTCCCTGTGATGCTGCTCGCAGCTGGAGATTTCTTTAGGGCATGCTGCTCTATTTTGGTCATACAACCATATTCCCTCAACTCATTGTTAATGGTGAAGTGTGAAGAAATATATTAAATGCTTCATTCTCCTTTGGAATAGTGGAGAATGAAATAATTTCAGAGAAAAATATCCCTGGGCTCAGCTACCCCATCAGCAAGGCTTACCAGGATACAGGTATCCTAATTTTTTAGAACAGACCATGTCACTCTAAAAACATTGGTACTTGGAACTGAATGTGCTTCTTCACATTTCATTTATTTTCTTTGAAAATTTTTTCCCTTAAATTACTTATTATTGGCCAATATCGGAATCAGACATACTTCATTTTGTCTGTATTGCAAACAGCTACCTGTTTTCTACATTAAATCACCATTCACAGTATCCTGACCTGTTTTCTTTTTCTTTCTAGCATATAGAAATGCTGCAGAAATAGTTCAGTATGGAGTGAAAAACAACACCACCTTTCTGGAATGCACACCTAAATCTCCTCAGGCTTCTATTAAGTGGCTGCTACAGAAAGACAATGACAGGAGGAAAGAGGTGAGTAATGTGAGCAGTAGCTCTGAGAGGATCCTCAGTTAGCACCAAATTCCCTCCCCAGACAAAGGTAGGGGACGGTTTGTGTTTTCACCAGGCAGTCTGGCTATAGTGAAGCTGGAGAACTTGTGTGGATGCAGGACAGTGACCAGCATTGACTCATATGAATAAGAGCAGACTCTTCAGTAGAGCTGGGACTTCATCCTCAGCCCCAGTGGTTTCTATCAGATCAAAACAGCTATCAGAAAATGAAAGAATTTTTCCCTCACACCTTACTAATTGCAAGCTGAAGGTTTGCAGCACTCAGAACTTCTTCTTGATCTAAGGAAATAGGCAGAAAAGCAATAACTGGCATAAAGTTCAGGAAGAAGTCAGCATGGAGTAGCCCCTCTGTGCTATTGAAGAGATAAAAGGCAAAAGTGGGAGAAATGTGAAAGGTTTCTTTAGCAGGAAACTAGTCCAGGGTAAGAACACGTATTGACAAAAGCATTTCCTCACCATGGTGCAATCACATTTTCCATTACCGCAGTCTCTATGGCTCTCGAGTTTCAGCACTGTAATATACAGTATGATTGTTTATGGGGAATGTACCTTCCTTAAGTAATTTAAAAGGGGGAAAAATCCATTTCAAATCCAAGGCAGTTACTATATGAATAAAAAAACCCCATCTTTCAAAAGGAACCATTAAGTAATGTGGTGTCTTTTGATAGGTTATAAATAGTGAAAAGCATTATTCTCCTATCAGGCCATTTTGCAAAAACAGAGGGGACTTAGAAGCCTCTCAGTGAGTTTTCTCACTCTTCAAAGACTCAAGCCATGTGCTGGCAATAGGTGCAGTTCTTTAACCCTTTGCTTCAACAGAACATCTCCCTTTTTTGTTCTTATATTCAATAACTGAATTACAATCAATGCAGTTTCAAATAGCAACAGGCAAACTAAAGCAGTCAAAGGGTTAATTACATTTCAAGCCCTCATATTTCTGGAAATCCTCCACAATGCCTACAAAATTTTACAATAGAATAATACTATAATAAGTGAAGCAAGAATATTAGGTATAATGCAAAGTGCAGTAGCAAAATAGAAAAATCATTCACAAAAATACTAGCACCGGTTTTCTTTCATAATGGGTTGAACTAGACATTTTTACTTCACAGCTGATATGCAAAAGGACATCTGCACAGTCATTTATTTTGGATGATAACTCAACAAGCTATGGTAACTTGCTTCTTTCAGATCATGTGTCTGTCTCCTGGGATTGTCCAGAGTCTGAAGCCAGAAAGAACACAGGAGAGTAGAATTGCTTTTGGTTTCCAATGAGCCAAGTCCAAGCTGAGGCTACTGCGATGATAATTTTTATACCAGGCTATAGCCTCTGAAGAGCAGATAAGAGTTCTTCAGAAGTTAGCCCCAGGAACCTGCTCAAAGTCAAAATATTTAATGAGAAGCCACTTTGTGCTCAATGCCAAATGAACCCCTCCAGTCCTGCACCTTTCTTCAGCTGAGTCTCAGCAGCAATCTCTGATGCTGGAAGAGACATTCTCAGGGGTGTAATTCTGGCAAATAAAAGTTCATTTCTTCAACTCTGCTATTTGAACATTATGAAAACATATATATATATATATATAAATATATAGCAACTTTTGAGAAAGGAAGTTGTGTTTGAAGTGAAACTTACCAAAAGGTCCAATACTCTGCTGTTCCATAACATTCCCTAAAACGTTCCTTCTGCCTTTCTGCTCTTCAGGTCAAGCTGAATGAGAGGATCATAGCTACTGAGCAAGGACTCCTCATTCGCTCTGTGCAGGACAGTGACCGGGGGCTTTACCACTGCATCGCGACGGAGAACAGCTTCAAGCAGACCTTGGCAAAGATCAACTTCAAGGTGTTGGATTCAGAGATGGTGGCCGTCATGACTGACAAGTGGTCCCCTTGGGCCTGGGCCAGCTCAGTGCGAGCACTGCAGTTCCACCCAAAGGACTTTGTGGGAGCTTTCAGCCACTCCGAGATGCAGATGATTAACCAGTACTGCAAAGACAGCAGACAGCCAAGTCAGCAGAGGGAAGAATCCCAGAAGATGAGAGGTGACTACAGCAAACTGAAGGCCCTCATCAATAGCAGGAAAAGCAGAAATAGAAGGAATCAATTACCTGGATCTTAATTTTATTTTATAGTAATAGGTATCTTTCTCCTCACTGTAGGGGGCTTATATTTGTCTGTTGAGAACAAATTTGAGCAAATATGATAAAAAAATTAAATGAAAAGCCAACAAGCCTTGGAAAAGATCTCTCTCCCAATGAAATGCAGTGTAACTTATCTAAAGAAAATAACGTAGAGCATTTTTTTTCCTAGATGCTTACTGACACTAGGCTGGGCTCTGTCCTAGACGCAGAACTGGGTATTCATCTTAAACCAGATTCATCTTTAACATCTCAGTATTTAATTACAGCTGAGTAGAAATTTTTACAAAATTAACTTGCACCTCTGGAACTGTACCAGCTAGAATGGTGGTGAAAGAATCTGGGGTAAGATGTATCTCAAAGTAGGGTGGTACTAGGATTTCTTGCACTGCATTTAAGAACGTGAGTTTCTTCTTGTTTACTGTTCAATATTGGGTTTACAGCTTTCACTCATTGTCCAAATCATGTGAATGCATGCTGATAGGAAGCAAATAAAGTATAGTAGAAATGTTTCATTCATTCAGAGGTCAAATGAAGGAACAAATAGAAGAAAAACAAAGACTTTATCAAAGGAAGCACTGATTATTGTGCATAGTATGAGTTGTAATAAATTAGTGAGATCTGGAATGTAACTTAAAATATCTCTGCTCATATTAATTTTTATTAAAATAGGGTATCCTATAACATTATGTAGCTTTATAAGCAGCACAAAGGTACCAAGAGAATGTTCATTATACACAGAATTTTGAAAAACACCTAAGTGACTTAGGTATTTTAGCTATTTTTCAAACAGATTACACTCCAATTTTTTTGCAAAGGACAGAATGTAGGTATACTGTCTAGTGTTTACTCAGAAATGAAAATCATAGATTATTTTTATTCTGTTCCATGATTAAATTGGAGCTGGTTCTGCAATGTGGAAACAAGTCATAAGTATCTTAGAAAAATTTAAATCATTATTTTTTCAACTGTTTTCTCAAAGTTGCAAATATTTTAACTAGAATTTTTTAATTAAACCATTCCCATTTTCCAGTCTTTATACCCTTTTTCTTTTCCATCTTATTTTCCCAATTTCTTCCTGCTTTCAGTTCTCTGCTGAAAAGCAGATCAGGAAAAGAAAAAGAAAAAGAATGAGGGAAAAATAAAACTGAAAAATGGGTTTGGGTCAAAAACCAAAAGAAATCTTTTGCTTAAGAAGCAGCTGTCAGGTCTAATGAAGTAAGTTTTGTTAAAATTTGGGTGAATGTGCATCAAGCCATCCTAAGAAAAACAATCACCTTTTTTTTTTTTTTGAGCAACACTAATGCCAAAAAACAGGGACAAATCATCAATCATTTTACTATGTAAGAGTGTTCTGGAAGCCACTGCATCTGTTTGAAGCATTAAAAATGTGTGAGTACCTTAGAAAAATTATGATTATTTATGATACTATTCAAAAATACAAACTGATGTTCGGCTCAAGACTGAGCTATGTTAAGTTAAAATTCTACTTCTATTAGAATACTCTGGGAGTAACTCTACAAGGCATGGGGTTTTGTGCCCAAAGATCTGGTAATGGAAGTAACACTGGTATTTACTTGGTATCACTTAGATGTGTCACTTTATCACCACCTGATGCAGAATAGCTGGGAAATGGGCCCTGATCTAACCACTTAAATATTGTTTCTAAATCCCTTTGATGCTGGTGGGAGCCCTTTGAATTTAATTTGTTATTATTGCTTGCATCAAAAAACATGGCAGTGCCAGCCTGCTCATATATTGCTATCTAGTTAAGTGCTTTCCTTAATCAAGGCCTAAATGCATATTTCAGCAATATTTAGCCACTGGTAACTAAGAACCTTATTATGGAAATTGTCAGAAAATTTTGACTTCAGCGAGCTTGGATTTGGCCCCAAGACCTGGCAAAGCAGACTCTGGAGAAAAAAAAAACAACAAAAACAAAACAAAACAAAAAAAAAATAAAAAAAAAATAAAAAAACCTGAAATGGGTGAGAGAAAATAAGGGTTTGGTTGGGTCTGGGTTTTTTTGCCAGCTGACTTTCGGTACAGCACACTGCTTTCTTTTTTTTTTTTTCCTGAGGATGACTGACTTCTGAAGTATGTAAGTGACAAACCAAAAATGGAGTGCCATGAAATAGAACTACCTCCTGGAATGACACTAGTGCATATTCTCTGTATGCTGCCATGCCCTTCCTATTTTCCCAGCAGATTCACTGCAGAGTTAGTGTGATACTAATGTCTATTGTGAGGCTCATAATTGCTTCCAGATGGAATACAGTGATTAATAGGTATTTAAGGGTACAATTTACCCTGTAAGTGGTTAGGTACAGTGATAGTTTAATAGGCCCCCATTAGGCCTCAGAAATTACAGTTACACTGTTTTCTAATAGAATATTGGCAATAAGGGATTCCATTAAAACAATCAGCATAGCTCAGAGTTTCATATGATTATAAAATAATATTTTTAAAGCTGCTTCATATACCATTATTATGGTATGACTGTTTAAGGGATTATACTTAAGCTAACAGTTTTTCCTGCTGCATGAGAACGTCAATATATATATATATATATAATAAGCTTCTGTCAGTGCGTAACTGGTCCAAGCTCCCATGCTTTAGGAACCTTCCCCATGTATAGAGTAGTCTGGAGCCAGATGCTCAGCTGGTATAAACTAATGTAACTTCCTTGCTGTCCATTTAGCTACTGTGGTTGATACCAGCTGAGGGTTTGGCCTTAAGTGTACAGAATAGACAAACTGCAATTTTTATTTGTTTAAAGTAGCCCCTCTACTGTAGGTAACACCAAAACTTAAGACTGTAATATTATTTGTGCTATTTAATACTTCCTATTTTGAGAATTACTAAATAATGTATATAATTTTATTCCTTAAAAAAATACGAAAGCAAAAATGACTTCTAGGCATAACTTCACCAAATGTAAAGATATGTTCTCTGCTAAGAACTTCGCCGTGTACTGATATTTTTTTGCTATTTTTATTTGGTGTAGTTTGTAAAGTTTGCTGAAATCTTGACCTAACAGTGTGTTCTTTGCAATTGTTGTTACTGTAGATATGTGTGTTTTATTAAGAAAATCTGGTTTTTAAAAGTGTAGGTATGTGTATAAGTTCCTAGCATGATGAAACTGTCATTACAGTGAATATGCATCATATAGTGTGTAAGAAAGAACAAAATGTAGTTTAACATAGTGCTATTTAATTGAATACCTAAAATGCTATTTGCCTGACAAAATAAAGTGTATTGCAACACCTTAACAATTTTTTGTCTTCCCCCTTATGGATGTGTGTTAAAAATAAGGAAGCTTAGAAAAAAACAACTGAAAAGCAATCCCTTAGACTTTCTAAACAAGAAAATGCTTGTAGTATCAGGTATTGGTCAGTTTTGAGCCCTATTCTGGGCTGAATACTCAGTCACAGATATATCAAGGAACTCATGAGGAGTCAGAGGTTAATTCTTTCAGAAATTATCCCTTATAAACACCTTGCATATAAGCAGATTAACTTATTATTCATTGGGAAAAAAAAAAGAGAAGAAAATATTAGTATAAAGTCAGTCAGAAATGTCTGACAAAAAAGGGGAGTTAAGTGTAAATGCTTTCTACTTGTATTACACTAAAAAAACAAAAAGAAAGAAAAAAGCACACACACAAAAAAAAAAACCCAAAAAAACCCAAAAAGCAAACCACCAGCCTCTCCCCCCCAAAAAAAACCAACTCCCCAAAAAACCTAACAAAACCCAAGCACATTCTGTGAAATCCCCCTTATTTCAGCTGATGCTCCTGGCCTTCTCTAGGCACCACTGCAGGGAATAAGGGCTGCTGAGGCTGTGCCACAGGGAGTCACAGCTCTCTCCCGTTTCCTGGTGTGTACTTGGAGTGAAATAACCTACCTGACACCTACAGACACTCCTTTTCCCTGTGTTTATCATAGTGGTGCTCTTCTTACTGTCTGTTTTTCCAGATGGGTTTTAACAAGAAAGCACGGGGCCTCCTCAGTTCTTTGGGATAATAATTAAAAATTAAATGTCACAAATACTGACCTTCACAACAAGGTTCTGGATCGTTAAACCCGGATTTGGATTTCCTGGATAGATAGGTTGCTGCAAGGCTTTATGAGGTGTGAGTGGATAAGATTACCTCACTCCAGGATTTCCGTGCTGCTGGTTCCTAGATGTGCTGATATTGGATAGTTACCTGCTCGGCACTCAGACCAGTTTGGGTCGGAAGCTGAGGTTTCAATCACTCCCACATGCTTTAGGAAATGTATGGACTAGGCTCCAAAAAAGATGGACATTTACAGAGTTTTATGCTCTGAGAAACCTTTCCCAGGTCTGGTCCTCTGTCCATCCTCCTCAGCTGTCTTTTGCTGGTCTTCTCCCTGTACTCTTCTTTGCCTCCTTCTGCAGGGTTCAACACTTAAGGTTTTGATTCCTTAGCTCTGAGCAGTGGCAAAACAAGACATGGGACTTCTCTGGACATCAGATACGAGGTGTTCAAGTGTCTTTCTAAGGTTTCCCTTTGAGTAAAAGCAGGATGCAAAACTCACTTCCTCACAGGACAGAGCAGTGTCAAGCACAACCTCCTCTAGGTGGCCAGAGAAGCCCAGAGGGGACTGCACAGGAGGTACCACTAACACTGGGGTGGCTCCCAATGCTACCAGGTGATTGTTGCCTCTGGAATTAATTCTTGCCTCCAGAATTAAGTCAGCAGATGTAATTCTGTGAGGCAGGCCGTAAAAGGCAGGTTGTGGCATTGTGGCTTTTGCCTGAAGCAATGGACTAGATCTCAGGAGACCAATGCTTCTTTATCCTTTGCACTGCAACTTTGCTAAGCCCTTCTCATGCACCCCAGGGTGGTCTGGGGAGAAGTGACTTCATGTGCTCTAAGCCCAAGTATACTACACACAGATACTCACCAGCAGGTCCCAGACACACATGCATACATACAGCTACCTGCATCCAGAGAAGCTTTTCTTTCCATACAGTATTAACCTTTATTCAACATTTATATATATGTACTTTTTCTGTTTCCACATGGGCAGAATCAGACCTCACAGTCCCAAGACATCAATAGCTTGTAGGTATAGCTATTACCATGTCTGAGAGCATTTTAAAAGACAAGTAATTGGTCAACAAAAGCCCTTTCTTTATTCACTCTCCTTTCTAACTTACCTTGTTC